CATCCCCGTGCACCCACAGTGCACACTGTATGCATCCCCGTGCACCCACAGTGCACACTGTATGCATCTCCAGTATGTTATCCTCTGTTCCCAATGGATCATTTCATGGACCCATGGACTGCACTATACCTCCTGTTCTCCCACTTTGATACCATTGCTTTGCATCATAGCTTGTGTTTTCTGCATAGCTGTGTTTTCTGTTATTGGTTACCTCGCCTAGCAGCTTTCCTTTCAGGGCTTTTATAGAGTGTGCAGGTGATATGAGCCTGTTACAGATGCCAGTGTTGATGACAGCTCAGTCTAGGAAGCCTCCTCCTCACACACACATGTACTTGGGAGCCTTATGTCTTCCCTGGCGGATTCCTCAGGTTCCAGAGGTAGTTGCTGGCCTGTTCATCCTTTCACTCTTACGTTTATCTCAGGAATACCTTATTCTGGGGCTGGACTGATGGCTGCTCTTCCATAGGACCTCGGTTTGATTTCCATCACCCATTCGAAGTTCCCCATTCCAGGAGATCCAATGCCTCTCTGGCTTCTGTACAGAAATACCCAAATATGCATGCAGGCAAAGCAGCAATGCACATAGAATAAGTGATGATAAAACTTTTTAAACTTAAAAAAAATGCATGTGTTTCTGTTACCAGCTGTTACAGCTGTTGGTAAAACAAATGGCCACCTCCTCCGTCTTTGGTTTCAGATCCTTGGGGAGCTGTATCACAGCCCACATAGAGTAGATTAACATGTAAAGTCTGGAGTCCGTGTGGCTGGACTTCGTCCACCTTTACTCTCTGCGTTAGTGTCATCTGGGGCAGGTTATATTTACACTTTGTGCCGCATTTTCCTTTAGCTGTAGGATGGGGCTAGTGTGGTTGATTTTTGTGGTAGGGTTTTCAACAAGATTGAGCTGGCACACAGCAAATGTAAACTAGTGTGTGTTGGGGTGTGATTTGTCAGTACACATGTGTGACCTTTTTGTTCATTTTTTAGGCATTGTTGCCTTCTCTGATGTTTCTCTCATTCTTGTTTGTTTTTCAGTGAAGTCTGCCAATCCTTAGTAAAGCATAGCTCTGGAATAAAAAGAAACGTACCGCTCCAAAAACTACATCTGGTTTCACGAAGTATTTATCATTCACATCATCCCGCCCTCACGCTTCAAAGACCCCAACTAAGGACATCATTTCAGCAGTTCTCTTCTCTAACTAACCTTTCTTTACATAAATTGAAACTTTCTCCAATTAAATATGGCTACCAGCCCCACAGGAACTTTTGGCCAGCAAGGTTAGCTGCAAGGCTCTTAAAACTTCGATATATCATACTGGGATCTGCTGTTGGAGGTGGCTATACAGCCAAAAAAGTGAGTTTACTTTCTTACCATAATTCTAATTGTTCCAAAATATTATAGATTTGTATAGCATAGTAGAAAGAAATTGTCATTTTTCTTTAGTGAATAAAATGTAACTAGCTGTTGAAACATTCACTGTATATATGTGTATATGTCCTATGGTGCTTTTTAAATATTAACCATAATTGTAGATGATCTGGAAGATGGAGCCCTGGTCTGGCAGCAAGAACACTTAAATTTGGTTCTAAACATGGCCATTTAGTAGCACAGGAGAGAAAGTCAAGCAGCATGTTCACAGGACTACTTCTGGGCAGCCCTGGGACCAGAGGCAAAGTGACCTCTCTCCCAGTCTTCCTTTTGCTTCACGATGTTACTTAATGCCAGCAAAGGCCCTCTTTGATAGGAATATTTTGACTATTTACATTTCCACATTTGATAGAAGAGTATTTGCTGTCATTCTACATATACAGCTTCTGATTTGCTATTTAAAGACCTGCACTTACATAAATTTGTTCCTTAAAAATTCTATACATGATGCATTCTCCTTGTAGATTGTTTTAATGAACTCGCTTCCTTTTTATATTGGTACATGGCATTTGGATTATCTGATTGACATGCGTTCTTGTCTTTTAGACCTTCGATGAATGGAAAGATATGATACCAGACCTTAGTGACTATAAGTGGATTGTGCCTGACTTTATATGGGAAATTGATGAGTATATTGATTTGGGTTTGTATCATCAACATTAAAAATAACTTTTGGATTGTGAGGGGATGACAGTCGCATTGGTAGTTTTAATGCTTGAGTCTAATATATGATAGTTTTATTTCAGTAATGAAAGTAATAATCTATGAAAGAAAAATTAATTTTTATTACATTTATTTATATGTGTGTGGATATGTATCACACTTGTGTGCACACACATGCAGATGTACATGTGCATTTCAAGGGATGTGTTTAGAGATCAGAAGACATTTTGTGGGAGTCTTTTGAAATTAAAAGGGATCCTGTGGTTACCTATGGGTTGACAGGCCTGGTAAAAAGCATTTTTACCCATTGAGCCATTTTGCCAACCCAGAGGGAAAAGAATATAAGAATAAGTATCCAATAATCTCATTTTTGCATGACTGCCACCCCCTCTTGGACTATTTTCTTCCAGTTTTACTTATTAATTGAATGTGGTTAACATTAGTTTCTTATTTCAGAATTACATAGGCATAAGGAGATGTACCTTCTTGTTTGTGTTTTGTTAGCTAGCACATCCTTTCTGCATTTCCATGCTGCTTGCAGCCTTTCCACATAGCATTTTCAACATGCAACATTGCCTGCACCATACACACTAGAACCCTAAGCTAGCTCTTTTGGTAAACTATCTTGTTTCTACTTTCTACAGCCTAGTTCCTTAAAAGTCTGTTAGTGTGCAAAGTGGCTTCACCCCTTAAAACACTGCCTTTGCCTGTAACAAGTGAGAACAGTCAATAGCTGATGGCAAGTAACTCATGATGAGCTTAAAAATTTTGGAGTCCCTTTTTAAGACACATGGAGGTGGAATTAATCTGCGTAAGTGCCTCATCATAGTACTTCTTAAATGTAGCCATGGTAACAAAGGTATTTTTAGGAAAGGGACAGTTTCTTTTTTTTTTTTTTTTTCAAAAAGAATACATGTTAGTACTGTGTAACATAATGTATTTACCAGTATCTTTGTGTGATGACTGAGAGGCTGGCTTCTGAAGCTAGGCTGCCTGGTCTTGAACCCTGGATCCCTCACTCGCTTGCCCTGTGCTTTAGTTTTTCATCTATGAGTGGAGTAGACAGCAAAGTTGACAGTATTTATAGGACTGGCTTGAGGTGTAAGCAAGTTGACATATTTAGAGCACTAATATTTTTGCTGTATCCTCCCTTGAGACCGTTACTCTTGTTTGATCCCCCCCTAGAGAAGATTAGAAAAGCCCTTCCCAGTTCAGAAGACCTTGCTAATTTGGCTCCTGACCTGGACAAGATTACTGAAAGCCTCAGCTTGTTGAAGGACTTCTTCACTGCAGGTAAGGAGGGGCTTTCATCTAACTTTAAGCCCTAGAGTCTTAGAGGGAAAATACATAGATGGTCTTATTTGTTCTCATCTTTTAAATTAAAACAAATGCAAAAGAATTTTATGTTAACACAAGATAAAAAAAGCACTGTGCACAGTGCTTTTAAATTTTAGCCTAATCAAATCAAAATTTGTAAGAAAACGTGTGTTTAGCTTTTTGTTGATGAGTAAAAACCTATTTCTTCTTGACAGGTAGATGAGACTCCCTATGCGTTTGCTTTTCATAACCACCTCAAACCAGTACTGTTACTTTAAAACAAAATTTAGTCATTGTAGACCATGTGAAGTATAATTTAAAGGGCTTACCCTGACGTATTTGCCCAGTTATTACCCTAATATGATATAAGTCTGGAATCTCAGACATCTTCCTTTACTCGTATTAAATTTTTATTTCCCTTTTGCTGACTTTTTGCAGGTCTCAAATTGGTTAGTGAAGTCATAGAAGCTTCTGGGCCACTTCTCTTGTTAGGTGTGTAACCAGACACTTTTGCTGATCTTAACATGCCTTTTAAATGCTTCTAATAAACTAGTCGCAAATAAAATTGCAGACCAAATTTATAATCCTGCTTATATATGCCGATCTTCAAACCCAGAACTAAGTTAGGCAAACTTATATCTTTTTTAGTGGAAATAGTAAAAGAAATTACATTCATAACAAAGCTGAAATTGCTAAATACACGATTTAAACTTATTAAAAGAAAATTTGCTTAACCAGAGTGTTTTCCTGGAAAAAAATTGAAATGAAAAGTAATTTTAGCTTGTCTCATCTGCCCTGTCATAGTGACATTTAAATTTGCTTTGTACTGTACACATTGTCTGATGGCAGTGGTGCTTGACTAAACTTGTAAATACAGCCTTGTAAAACAATCCTTACCAAAGATTGTCTTGTTTCTATCATAATTCTCATTTCTGTTTTAAAAATTGATTAAGTTTGAGATTTTTTGACATTGATTCCCAGTAATTTTCTTAAAAATAAAAATGTATTCTTTGAAGCTAGTTTGGTTTCTTTTGAGCCATGATGTCGGGTTCAGCGCAGCCTTGGGCTCCTGAGTGTAAGGGCTGGGATCGCAGGCATGCCCTGCCTGGCTGCAGCTTCTTTGGGTTGGTTTTCCCTTTGCAGTGCTGGGGACCCAGTGCATATGAGGTGAGCGCTCTGCCACCGGGCTGTGTCCTCAGTCTCCCCACACCCCACTTACTTTTTAATTGCTTAGATGTAATTGGAATTTAGCTTGGACTGTTGACATCATTGGAGAATTTAAACAAGTGTGTTTATCTTTAAGGTTCACCTGGAGAAACAGCATTTCGAGCAACAGATCATGGATCCGAAGGTGACAAGCATTACAGGAAGGTAAGTATAAAGCAGAACTCATCTCACAGGGAGTCCTGAAAAACTTAGCTTTTCCCTTATTTTTGAAATATGTGAAAATGCTAATGCATTTCTAGAAAACTGCAGGTGTTAATGCAGCTGTTCTGGAATAGAATCAGAGACAGCCTTCCCCCTTCAGTTACGCTCTGTGAAATAACTATTCAAGGTTTGTTATGAAGTATATGTGGGAAAAGCCAGTGTGGACGTTTAAGTGGTCCTCTCTTTCTTGGGGCTTTGCATAAACATGTTCACAGATCTTCAGGAGGACGCAATGTACAGGGCAGACCAGATTTATGCACAGAACATTCTTGCTCTTCTGGAGAGTTACGATAGCTTAGGAGGAAAGAAATGAGAGAATAGAAAGTGAGTTATTTAGTGAATAAGTCAATTCTTACATACTGAGAGCCTACAAGGTTGTGTGTGGAGAGGTGCGTCAGTATTAACACCTCCTGAAACAAATCCATGTGGATACTATGGGGCCGTTGCATATGAAGCGGAGAGAATCGCTGAGCTACAGTCACATGAGTTGCTCTGCATTTCTAGCCATATGCTTCACCATAGCAGTTTGAGTTTTTACTCTGTCATCTTTTTTAACTAGAAAAAGAAATAATTATATATAAAGTTTTGTAAAAATAGTGTCTAGAGAAATAGATTTGTGAGTAAAATAACATTTTATTTAAACATTTTAGTTAAATGTGGACTATTTAGGTTATACTGAGCTTTAAAGCATCATGGGAAAGAAATAATTTTATGATTATTGAAGAGGAGAAAGAAAGAATTTCTGTATTTCTATTTCTTTTCTTTCAACTTGAACCTTTTTTTATGCTATCCCAATTTTTAAATATAGTTCCAATATTTCTTTTTGTTTACTTTTTAGGTAAAGCATACTTCATTTTGAAGTCTTTAATAAAGATAATTTTAATTAAGGGGCACTCTTAATTTTGTATTGGAGGGTAGTGCTAGAATATAGCCTGACAAATGTAGCTTATTTTGAGCCAGAGAAAGCCTTGGCCATGAAAGCCAGTAAACCTCATGAACTGATCCGAGGAGAAGGGCCTTGTGACGGGTCTGGAAGTGTAGAGCCTTGAGCTGCAGTGCTTTGGCCTAAGTCAGAAGACACACCAGGGTGTGCTTTCTCACTCACTCATGTGTTGTGTGATCACTTTGTTCAGACTTGACTCAGGTAAGTCCCCTAAAACTGACAAAATGATGAATGAGTGTTCCCTGCACTAGAGAGGAAGCAAGAAAATGGATCGTGGGGAATTTAATTATTGATATAGATCTGATTTTATTCAATTGACATGAAAATAAAATTGTTGCTTTTTTTTAATATTTTGTCTGTTTGACAGTAAATGCCCCTTGTAGGCTCTTCCTTTATCTTAATTTATGGTAATTACTTTCCCCTATTAAAACTTAGAAGTTGAGGCTGGAGATATGACTCACCTGTTGAGCCCTTCTTGGTCTTGCAGAGGACCCACACCAAGTGGCTTGCCACAGCCTGTAGCTAGTGTCACAGGATCTGACACCCTCTTCTGGAATCCTTGCGTACTTGGACTCATGCACATTTCTACATGCAGACACATACACATGTCCATATAATTTTAAAATATTTATTAAATTGTCTGAGCTTACCAATTATTTTTCAAGTGATTTATTGTAAATATTAAACCTAGAATTGTACCTGTGCTGCTTTTATTACAGATTAAGTCAAATTCTAGAAGATACTAATATGGTGGAAGCGTGTTCAGGTGCAGCAGATAGTTCAGTTCTTGATGCATGCACAGTGTTGTTTCTAAGGTCTGACTCTTGCCTATGATACTTGAGAGTAGTAAGCCTTGTAGACACGGTACAGATTTGTTGGTGTGAGCTGATGAACCTCGCCTACTAAGCGATGCTTGAGTAGCATCATGCAAGGAGAGACTTGAGCCTGGTGGCAGCCTTTTTCACATCATCTAGGCATTAGTTTCTATTTGTTTTATTTTGGTTTGTTTGTGGGGCGTGTTTTGCCTGTGTACCACATGTATGCCCACAGAGACCTAAAAAGGGTTTTAGATCCCCTGAGACTAGAATTAGACTCAGTTGTGAGCTGCTATGTGGGTACTGGGAAGGAAACCTTCATCCTCTAGAAGAGCAGCCTTAACCACTGAACCATCTCTCCAGCCCCCTCAGATGTCAGTTCTAAAGATTTGAGTGGTGCTTGGATGACACCCAGAGTTTCTGGTTACCTTTTAATTGTTTAAGTCTTGAGTCTTAAGATGTACTCGTTAAAATCATAATCGGATCAACAGCCATACCAGCCTGAATGTGCCTGGTTTCACCTATGTTATGTTCAGGATGTGAAGCAGTCATGCTTAAGTTTTTTTTTGTTTGTTTGTTTGTTTTTTTTTTTTTTTTTTTTTTTTTTGGTTTTTCGAGACAGGGTTTCTCTGTGTAGTTCTGGCTGTCCTGGAACTCACTCTGTAGACCAGGCTGGCCTCGAACTCAGAAATCCGCCTGTCTCTGCCTCCCGAGTGCTGGGATTAAAGGCGTGCGCCACCACTGCCCGGCTCATGCTTAAGTTTAATGGTGGTCAGGTTCATGGTTGTGGTTTCTTCTCTACTAGAAATAAAAAAATGTCATGCAAATTGTCTTTTTTAAGATAATAGTAAAGGGAATACATTTCTACAACTAGAACTGAAATAAAGATCCGTTCTCTCTTATAGGTGAGCACTTCCAGAAAAATCTTGGCAGTAGAGGAATAGTTAGGACTGCTCAAAGCCAACTGAAAGAAAAGGGAGCTGAGGGAGCACACTCTCATATCATAGGACCAGAGTCAGACTGAACAGCAAAGTGGGCTGGTGGCTTGTGGGTCCCATCTTGGCTCTCTAGCCTTGTGTGTTTGGTAATTACAGGAGAGAAAGTCCGGAAGGCATATGACACTGCAGAGTCTGAGTAATCAGCGTTCCTTTGCTTTTGCCTGAGCACACAGCTCCTAGATTGTAGACACCATTTGTGCGATGTTGATCAAAAGTTTTGCTATGTATCTTCGTTAACAAATTGAAAGTTTGTTAACAAATTAAAAAGTAAATTCACTTTTAGCTGATGTTACTGAGGCAATGGTTATATTACTCAAAAGTTAAAAGTTTAGGGAAAAGTTTAAAATTTGTATCCACTGGAGGAAATATTTGTGTGAACTTTGTAAAGTCCTTGGAATCTGGAGAACTTGAAACTTTCAGAAGCCAAATTAGGAACTAGAGATATGAGCCTGTTTTAGTGAGTGAGTGGACCCAAGAATTGTCAACAAGCCCCATCAAGTAACCTCAGGTTTGAGGAATTCTTGTTTCCTGCACAGCTAACAGCTACAAGTATAGATTAGATAGATTCTTAGCAAGAATCCTCAGCACAGTGTACTTAATAGATCAGCAATGACTATTAAGATGAATAGAATGGATCTAATGGAATGACTGAGCAGACAGCCGTACAGCATTGCCCAATAAGAAGCATGCTGTGTGTTCAATGTCGTTTAAGAAATAGTATGAACATGTATCAATAAATTATACTGTTGTAGGTAGACCCTTAGAGACAGAAAGATGGAAATTGTAATATTGATAATTACTGAGAGCCATTTTATCTCTTAAAACTATTTGTAGAAAATGTCCAAGTAGTAAATTATATAGTATGCTATTTCTGATTGGAGAAAAGAAAGTATTCTAAAGGGGGAAGACATTTCATTTTGACAGCCAATAACAAGTTTTGCATTCATAAGTATCTTGAGCAATAATATACAAGGAAACCAAGTTTGTTTTTATTTGTTTCGGGCTTTTTGGCTAAAGAAATAGAATTATTCCATTTGGGAAGTACTGCTTAGGAATATTGCATAAAGTTCTTTTTAGTAAACCAAAATGTAGTTTGGCAAATGTTTATCTTATAGGGCCTGATATTAAATATTTTGTTAGGTTTGCAAACCATAATGTCTCTATAAGCTACTCAGCCTGCCTACCATAGGTTGCCAACTCTTTTCTGTGCAGTGATCTAGACACACCTGCCATTGTGCTCTTTGAAATGTAGGTTGATACTGATGAGTCAAAGGCACTTTGAACATAGCTGTGCAGTATTACTAGGTAGTACTGATGGAGATTTTGGAATCACAGGTCCTGGTTTTCCAGTTTCCTAAGCTGTAACCTTGGACAAATTGTTTAGCTTCTCTGAGTTGCTCATTTCCTCTTTTGGAAAAGGAAGCCGCCTTGAAAGGTTATGAGGAGTAACTCCTAAATAAATGTAAAGCTGTTAAGAGTTAAGGGACCAATGACATCACAGGGTCATCACTTTCTGTGACTTGTTGTATGCTAATGATATTTGACATTCTATTCATTCTTCTCCTTGTTTTGTTATGAAGTCTTGTGGAGACTGTGAAAACTGGGAAATGGTTTTTAGGACTAGCCATATACCTTTTAAAGAGCTTTTAAATTATTTTTTTCATTAGTTAAATGTATTTACTTTGCATCTCGATTGAAGCTTCCTAACTAAGACTCCTAACAATAGGGCATATGAAATGATCACCTGTAACCAGGCAAGACTTCCAATGGAGGAATAGAGATACCAACCCAGCCACAAAACCTTCAACCCACAAGTGTTCTGCCTATAAGAGGTGCAGGGATAAAGAGGGAGTAGAAAGTAAGGGAATAGCCTACCAATGACTGGCCCAATTTAAATTACCTTCAACTAGAAACAGGTGATTGATAGGTAAAAATCAGTTGTGTTTGACTTACTCAAGCAACAATACATGCCAAACCCTGTAACATATCTCAGATATGCCAGGCCTTACTTAAGGTGCTAGGTATTCAAATAAACAGTGGCACATTATCTATGGTGCCAGCCACTCAGGAGGCTGAGAAAGGAGGCTTGCTGGAAGCCAAGGCTTTAAGACCTGTCTGGGTGACATAGCATAGATATAGTTAGCCTGTTCCAGCTTTATAACAGAAATGCCATAAATGGCTGTATTATAACCAACAGAAGTGTATTCCTCTCAGTGCTGGAGCTGGGATATGAGATTAAGGTGCTGGTGAGTGTGACGTCTGGTGAGCATTGTCTGTATACCTGACAGAAGAGGCTAGGCAGCTCCTGGAGTCTCTCTGATAAGAACACTTAACCTGGAGGCCTTGGGACCTCATCACCATGCAGAGGCCGTTGAGGGTTAGGTTTCACTATGTATTTGTGGGAGCTAATGTTTAGATCATTGGAATATTAGTTCAAATTTATTAAAATCTTTTTCACCAAACTCATTAAACCTTAAACTAGTAATTTTAGTTGTTTTGTAGAATTCTTGTTAGAACTAATTTTCTTGATTTGATGCTGTCATTTTTTATAACTGTAAATGTTCCTGAAGCATGAGACAAAGTTATAGTGTTAAAGCACAATGTGCAGAATATTAAAGAACAAACCTTCTGAGCCAGGCATAGTGGCGCATCCCTTTAATGACAGCACTTGGCAGATCTCTGTGAGTTCAAGACCAGCCTGGTCTACAGAGCCAGTTCCAGGCCAGCTAGAATTATGTGGTGAAACCTGTCTCAAAGAGGGGCTTTATTTTATAAACTATAAGTGGTAAATTATAGAAATTACGTTCTATAATTGTTAATCCATAATTGTGATTTGTAACAATTACTGTCTGTATTTTATATATAATAGCTGCTAAATAACTGTTTCTTGAGAGCAAAGAGTTCAAGCTTGGAGAATGTTCACTGGCAAAGATGTGTTTTGTACATCTGAGGCTACATCTGGTCCATCTGTCTCTGCTGTTCTTCATGCTCAGAGATTAGCAGTGATACAGCTTATGATTTGGTGCTTAAAGTTGGGGAAAGGTGATCTTAAGATGCATAGTATAGTGTCAGTAGTTTTTTTCTGTGTCTAATTCTTGTTTTCTCCTACTTTTTTTTAGGAGGTAACAGTTACTTTCACCTAACTTCACATAACAGTGCTTCAGTAGCAGACTTGGAAGGAGAGTGAGGTGTCACTAGAAAGAGTATTTCCTGGTAGTTTAACAGATTCGATCATAATAACTGTACAGCTGTGCTTAGACATAAGCAGTGACTCAGGGTGGGGCAGTTAAGCTAAGCCAAAATCACTCGATAGTTTATAAGATAGAGTATTAGTGGTAAGTAAATATTAACAGATATGCTACCAGGTGTGTCCAGCCTTTTGACACTGTGACACTGGTTGTGGTCTACAAAGTTCACATTTGAAAACTGCAAAAAAAAAAATTCCAACAACAACAAAAGCCTCATACAAATGCAGTGTTTTATGTAAGATTGTGATTTTGTGTCATGCTGAATATGAAGTTTGGACACACCTTCAGGCTCACATAGGAAGCCTTCTTTAAAGACAGTTGTTTTTGTGTGATCTGAGCAGTTGGGTAGCTGGAATACATGATAATCCAGATAAATGAGCAGGTGGATAACACTGTTAAATTATTTTTGTTATTTAATGTATGGAATGACAAAAATTATGGGATAATGAAGATAGTTGGTAGGTGACTTTGACAGATTTGTCAATGATATATATATATACATATATATATATATGTGTGTGTGTATATATATATATATAAAATCTTAAAAGGTAGCATCAAGTTTTATGAGTATCTTTTATACTATTGAATCTGGAAACGTTGAAATTTCAAGCTTCATTTATCCTTTGATTTGCTGTAAATCAGTCAGTTTCATTCATTGTCTGATATTGACAATAATCATAGTATCAAAACTAAGAATAAGACAGAATCCCCAAATTTTCTATCAATCCTTCTATTACTGTAGTGCTACACGCCCCCTGTATTATTTTGGGGGCCTCTTTTATGATTACCTAAGTTCTTGGGTTATGTAAGGTAAATTAAGTAAGCCCTTGGGTGAACCCACAAACTAAAATTTGAACATAGCATAAATCAGTATTTTTATAGTAAGAAATTTTCTGACAGTACAAAGCATGGTATTTTTTTACTATTATTTTTTTTTAAATCTAAAGCTCTGAAGTTCTGGTTTAGGTTGTTTTAGTAATTACTAGCTTTCTTACCTTTAGTTTTATGACTTGGTAAGTCTGAGCCCATTGGTTCTTACACACTACACTATTCAAATTGGTTGTTCATTGCAACTTCACTGGCTTGATTTTTCTGATTGAGAAACCATCAATCTGGTACCATCACTGTTGATTCTTAGTTGTCTTTTCCTCCATATGTCTCAAGATTGGCCTTCTCATAGGCCAGCAATTTACAACACAGAGGCACCCGCCCCCTTTCCTTAGTAACCAGCACCTGCCACTCTGAAGTGCTGCACAGAAGACCACATGGGTTTAGGATTGTGGCACATGTAAACGCAGTGTAATCACAGTCTACCAGCTTAACCTTTAATGATTGAGTAGAGTCAGTGTTAGAGAGAAAAAAGGTAATGTGGCTCAAACTGGCTCTTTTCAGTTTTCGTAATAACTGTATTGTCTCGGTATCTTAATTATGGTTTTTTAAGTAATTGGTATGTGCTCAGTTACTTTCTCAGAGCCTGTTTCTATGTCAGAACAGCTCATAAAAAGTGAAGAAAATGCAGTCAAATTGCCTATGTAGTGTTTCAAGTCAACTGCATACATTAGTGCACATTGACAATTTTATAAAGGGTTTTACCGAGAAATCCAGGGACCTGCCATGCCAGCCTTCTTGTGCATGCCCTCCTTGTGCAGTCTAGCTTCACTCTGTTGACTGGCTGGCTGGCTGGCTGCTGAGTCAGCAGTTATTGCACTCTCACTTTTTAAGCCATGCTGTTTTGCTTTCCTGAGACATCCAGTTTTACTGAGGGGAAAATGAAGTGCAGTGCAGAGCCCACTTGTGGGACACCACTCTAGATGTGTGAGTTTCCATTTTTGTTTTAAGCTATCCATCCCCTGTCTTGCATCTGTTCTTCTGTTGTGCCCTTTGGTTTAACATTGTTCTCCCTCCCCAATTTTCCTCTTCTCCTCATTGTAAACTCATGGCAGGGTCTGCTTGGTGAGCTCATTCTCTTACAACAGCAAATTCAAGAGCACGAAGAGGAAGCACGCAGAGCTGCTGGCCAGTATAGCACGAGCTATGCCCAACAGAAACGCAAGGTGATGGATGGTTTAAGGGGCTACTGATACGTCACACTAATCCGCCAATTCTGCCAAGATCATATCACCCTAGTCTGTTGATGGACTCCAATCATTGGAAATTATTTTTAACAAAGTAAATTAAAAAGATACATCATACCCCCTCAAGTGGATAGTGTAGCCAAAGCCCACCATAGAAGCTCAAGCATAGCAATTTAGGTTATCTGTGAGAGTCTATACATTTGCATTTAGAGTGAAATTATGAATAGTTGTTTATATGGTACAGTTGACTCACTCAAATAATTGGGTATTGAAGTTATACGAAATCCTTTAAAGTGCACTTTTAACCATTAGGTCAAAGTGCCATAGGGTCGGCCCCTTTATCCTGTACAGACTTATCACAATGAGATAAGTATAATGATTATGCATTTATATGCAGAAATTATCTCATCTCTTAGAGAATTTTTTAAGCAAGATCAGAGAAGTATTAAAGCAGTGTACAAGCTATCCAGGAAAAGGAATCAATCATATAGTTAGCTTCTCATTTGCTCTTGTATCTAAATCAAGGGACGTTACAGATGCAGGTTTGGTACAATGCTTCTACTGGCTAATCTTGGTGGTAGTTAATGCTTGAGAGTTCTCAGCATAATTTCATGTTTGCTTAATGTCATTCCTGCCTTTTCTCAATTCCGTGGCTGTGCAACCAAAAACTATGTACTGTTCAGTTTTCAGTGGATGGATAAAATATGTAGAAAAAGAAAACAAGTTATTTCATCTTTGTGATTAAAGGAGATTTAGCTGGGTGATGGTGATGAAAACCTTTAATCCTATCACTTGGGAGGCAGAGGCAGGTGGATCTCTGAGTTCAAGGCCAGCCTGGTCTACAGAGCAAGTTCTAGGACAGCCAGGGCTATAAAAGTGAAGCCCTGTCTCAAAGGGGATTGGGGGTCGGGGGGAAGATTCTTGACTTGAGGAAGGACTTATTTTAAACATTCTGTGTTTACATATGTTGTAAATGTATCATTTGAATTTTCTAAGCAGGTAGATGCCTTCACTGAGCCATCCATACCATAGCTTTGTCACAGAAAGAAGTGGGAGGAGTTTGTGTGTTCTGGATTGTTACTTAGAAATATGAATATGGTACAGTTACAATTTGGTCTTTTTTCATAATAATAAGATTGAAATGAGGCCCATCTGCCTGCCATTGTAAGATATAAGATGCAGTTTAAGACTAATGCTTCTAAGTCTGACCATTCCAGGGATATAAGTAATAAATTCTGGCTGATTTTCTGAGAGTCTGGACATGAATGTTCAGTTTAGGCCTGCTTTACAGGTCTGTCTTCAGACTTAAGAACATCTGTCACTCCTGGTCTGTTTACATGGTTATTTACTTGACCCTGTAGTTCCTTTCTGGCAGTTTGTGAAGGACAGTGACAGAGCTGCACTTCTGTCTGGTTTGTTTGTAAAGGAGCACCTAGTGGCTCACCAACCAGGGCTTGTTCCTGCCCATTGTGTAGTTGCCTTGTGTGAAAGTTAGTGGGCCTTTAAAAATAATTTATGCTATTCCATAATGAGCCCATTCTTACAGTCCTGAAAAACTAGTTCCTTACCTTGTCTTCCTTTGCTCCCTGATCACAGTCAAAATCTATATTCCTGAGATTTTTATCATTCTAGGGATTTAAGGTTTTCATGAGGCCTAAAATAAACCATAGGCACTTTTAAGTCCTTTAAGTAATTATTTCTTTGTTCTTGAAAATCTAGGTCTCTGTTTTTTAATATTTTGTTAGAAGTAAAATGTTTGCCTGTATTTTCTAAGCAAAAGAGATAACCAGAGGCAGGAGGTGTTGATAGTTTTCCTCCTTATGAATATGTACACAGAATTTTCCAGAGATTCTCAGATACATGCTTCTGTATTTCCGAACAGTCACAGTAACTTAGTAGGAGGAAATAAGTTCTAAAGTCAGTGCTCTTCTCATGCGGACCTAAGGGTTTCTCTTTGACATGAGTTCATTGTGCGGAAGATCCCACCCCTTCTCCATCAGGTTCACAGCCTTGGAATTGTAGAAATGCTCTGGTTCAACACCATTGGTTTCATTCCTGTCAGGGTGACTTTAAAATTCATTTCATAGTAAAAACTAAATATATTACATGGCAGAGCATGTCTTATGTTGTAAATAGCTGAGCTTTACTAGTAAAGCTATTGGAAGAAAATATATCCAAGCTGTCTAAAAAGGTAGCGGGAGACCAGGCCTCACAAGCATAAAGATCTGAGTTTGATCCCCAGAACCCATGTGGTAGTGTCCCAGTGCTGGGCCAGCAGAGATAGGCTCCCTAGGGCTCCCTCGCCAGCCAGCCGAGTCTAAGTGGAGAGCTCTAGAGCAGTAGAGATCCTTTCTCTAAGGGGGGTACAGTGTCCCTGGCACCAAGCTAGTCTTCTGGCCTCCACACACATGGACTCAGGCATACACATGTGCGTACACATACACACACAGGCCCGTGGGCATTAAAAAAATAACTACAATAAATGATAGATTAGAAATAGCTCGTGCTAGTCTCTAAGAGAACATGTAAAAGTTATATTCACACCAATCTTTAAACCTAAGAATTTTCATCCTAGCTCTTAGGGGGAAAATGAGATCTCAGTTCTGTCTATAGCACCTATTTTAAAACATTAATTTTGATCCTTTTTAAATGAAACAGCTAAGAAGTATGCCTTTTTGTAATATTCTAATTAATTGTTTTGCCTTCTTATGTAGTCTTTTATTTTAACCAAACTACTTATGTTAACATTTTAACTTTTTAATTTAATTATTTTAGTTTTTTAATTATTATTCCACATGCTGAGTAACATTGAATTTTTTGATAGTAATTCAAGGTATATTTCAGAAAATCTCTCAATTTACATTTAAAACCCAAAGCTAATTATGGTGGCAAACACCTTAAAGCCCAGCACTTGGGAGGCAGAAGCAGAGCAATCTCTTAGCCTGAGGCCAGCCTGATCTACATAGTGAGACTCTGCCTCAAAAAGAAAAAGTTAAGCAAGAACAGTTGAAAGTAGCAGTGTTTATATATCTTACAGTAGGTTCACTACAGTCGGATGAAGATTTAGTAGAAGAAAGTAACTCACAGTGCTTTTGAAATGAACCAGGAACTTAATCTACATCCAAATGTTTGATCATACTTTTAACAGAATGATGGCATGCCCTGTGATCTTTTGTGTAGTGCTCTGACTTGTATTGGTCCTTTGGGTCTTGTTCTTTGGGCTGTGGGCTCTTTGATTTGCCTGGCTCTTCCTCACATTTTAAGAGACTTAATAATTCTTGTCCAGTCTACCTGAGTACACATAATCAAAATGAAAATGTAACTATCAGCAAGTCTCTTTCCACTCAAGGCTAAAAACAAAATTTCTGTTACAAAATCTCATTTCAAAATAATTTTATGTTTCAAACATACACATTTAAGGAGAAAAATGTATTATCATCTATGAAAATGGAGAGATTTTAGAAAGGTTACTTAGAATTCAGAGTTAAAAATCTAAAAATAACATTTTGTAGCAGGGACAAGATTTATTAATGTCTGCCTCAATAAAGAATTCATTTAAGATCTGAGGAAGACAGCTCTGTGCCCTGCCAAGAAGTCAGTGCACACTTGTGTGAACTTGCCATAAGTGACATCGTTTTCATTGTATTTTCTGCTTCTTGTATTGTGACTACTTTAAACTCCGTTATACCATGATACTTGGTAGCTTTTAAAATAGTTCGTCTTAGAACTATTCATAATGATTTGAAGTAGTTTGCATAATACCTGTGCATTTTATTTTTTATGTTCAAAACAGCTTTAGTTGCTTAACTGGTTTCCTTTCTACAGACATCTCTGCTCTGTTGAAAGTTAGCTGCTGTTGCATTGGAATTGAATTTAAAAACAAGCCTCTGGCTCCACTTACCTCTCTGGAGATGCTAATTATTCTCCATATTTGTTATACACATCTCTGTTGATAATGAGGAAGCTGAAAGTAGTTCTTTAGAAGATACACTGTAACCAGTGAGCTTTTTCAGTAGCTGAATGCAGTAACATATATGGTCTCCCTATACTTGTTTCTGGAAAAATGGTAGTGCTCAAAGACATTAGGTTCCTGTGCAAGCTCCTGATAGAGTAAGCCCAGATGTTCATCTCCACTGTTTCTAACAAGTCTTTCATAACAGATGACTAGCGTGGTAACAGGACAGTGACTCCTTGATGTTTCTATTTTATAAGATTTTGATGAACTGTTCTTATTGATGAGTACAAGTTTTTTATTATCTTAAACAATTCACCTGATTTAAATTTTATTTTAAATATGCTTATACTTAGTGCTGCTTTAAAACTTCAGCTTATTATATATTGTATGTAACCCTAATTAATCTGTTTTAAATATTTAGGTGTCAGACAAAGAAAAGATTGACCAACTTCAAGAAGAACTTCTGCATACTCAGGTAACTGGTCAGTAAGAGAAGCTAGCACTTCTTTCCTTGGAAGCTGAGCCCAGGGCATCACAAATTAGGGCAAGCACTGTGACAGCCTCAGCCCCAGCAACTTCTTTAGAGATGTAGACAGTGTATTCCTTTTCCAGTGAAGCAAAAGTTGCAGTACTTAATGTCAGGCCCTTACCTCTAGCAGTAATTTTTGTATGTACGAAAGCTAATTGAGAAATAGGGAATAAAGAGGAAATCAAATGAGTACCAGGTTAACTCATTTGTATAGAGATTCCTATTTGGAGTGAATCTCATTCTGATTTTAAAGATTAACTATTGTGGGGGGTCGAGGGGGGATGGATGAAAGTATTTGTCCTTATATAATCTGATGCTTATATTGTCACTTTGCTAGGCTAGATACAAAGTAAAGAAATTTGAGACTTCACATATTTCTAATGAATCCCCAAACCCCTTTCGTTTTTTTCTTTGAATCCTGAAATCAATATAATTTTTTTTTCTAAAGATATTTCTGGTGGTATAAACTGATTGACCTTTTAGGGTTAATGATAAAAATCATTATTTAAAAATCATTTCTATACAATGTAATGAGTAGCTACCTTCCTGGTATAAACTTTTCCAACAGCAGTTATTCTATATAAATAACATCATTAAAACTTATTTTTATAAGCCAAAAGACATACTTATCATCTTGGGTCTTTTTAGTGAAAACATACAAGAAGGAGTAATCTGAATGAAATGAAATGAAATAGCTAGTATATTCCTGGTGCATGGCTTTCCTTCATCTGCTCATGGAGTCCCATGTCTAACTGCACTAAAGCACCTGTGCTTTGGCTAGCCCCTGTGTTTCTTGAGGCCTCTCTGCCATGCGTTAAGAATCGTTACCCTCGGGACTGGAGAGATGGCTCAGTGGTTAAGAGCACTGACTGCACTTCCAGAGGTCCTGAGTTCAAATCCCAGCAACCACATGGTGGCTCACAACCATCTGTAATGAGATCTGATGCCCTCTTCTGGTGTGTCTGAAGACAGCTACAGTGTATTCATATATAATAAATAAATAAATCTTTAAAAAAAAAAAAAAAAAAAGAATCGTTACCCTCCTTACTGCCCAGATCACTGCTGCCTTACAGTGTATTCAATAAGCTAGTCTTTTTAAACAATAAGTTTTGGGTTGTTTTGTTTTGTTTTGTTTTTTAATTATGTGAGTGCTCTATTTGCATGTACACCTGCATGCCAGAAGAGCATCAGATCCCATGTGGTTTTTGGGAACTGAACTCAGCACTTTTAGAAAAGCAGACAGTGCTCTTCACCACTGAGCCATCTCCCCAACCCCTAAAAGACCCTTTTATCTTTCCAAAACACTATTTCAAGATCTCAGTAACTGTATGGCTAGTGACTGTTTTCTAAACAGCAAAGAAATACTAGAGGTTTACTACCTTTATGGGCTATAAAAGAATGCTTTACAAAATATGTTTATCATACAAGCAAGTAGTTGTATTTGTGCCATGCCATGAGGCCCAGCTTGTACATTGTAGCACTTTGGTTTCCTGTTATTTACCATTTTCTCAGGAGTTTAAGAACTAAAAAGTCTAAGAAATGTTTTGCATGTTGTGATATAGGCTGTACATCTAAGCATTCTGCTAATTATAGGGAAGTGTGTCCTTAATTTTTTGGGAGATGACTAGTTTCAACAGCTCACCATGAAAAGCAAAGTGGGTTGCCATTTTGCTAATTTGAAATAACCTGCAATAAGTTGATTTTCTTTTTTTTTTTTTTTTTTTTTTTTTTTTGGTTTTTCAAGACAGGGTTTCTCTGTGTAGTTCTGGCTGTCCTGGAACTCACTTGGTAGACCAGGCTGGCCTCGAACTCAGAAATCCGCCTGCCTCTGCCTCCCAAGTGCTGGGATTAAAGGCGTGCGCCACCACCGCCCGGCTAAGTTGATTTTCTTAATTATATGTTTTTATGTCAGTATTTTAAGCACAAACAAACTTCTCCAGACATGGGCATTTGACTGAATCTAGAAGAATGTAGGCCACTTACTCAGGTAGATGTGTTTAAATGCTTTTTCATCCCCACACAAGATGACCTTAGGGAAGCTGCCAGGAGTTCCTAACTTTATGTTTCCTGCCTGTAGAGCATCTCCTTCTGGGTGTTTTCTGGTGAAGGGGTCATCACATGAAGATGTTTAGGTGTTACTTGTTCATGTTGTATATCATATCATCTTTGTTAAAATAATGTCCAAATGAGAATAATTTAAGTTTTACCCATAGCCTTGTATTGAAGACTCTATTTTTGAAATCATAGAAAATATTGTTTCTAAGGATAGTCCAGCTTCTTTAACTTCTTAATTTTTTTAGTGTTTTTAAATTATTTCTTCAACACAGGAAGCAAATAATTTTAAGTTAAATGCTCAATTATAATGGAAAAGTATGGATTTCACTGCTTGCTTGAAATAATCAATTTTATTTTCTCTATATTGTCATGGAGAATTTAAATGTAAAAATAATAAGTGTAACTAGTTAAGTCATACAACTTTAGAATTTTGGAAGATTTTGATTAGACTTAATATTTATTTGTTTGCTGATCTTTTTCTTACACAGTCATGTGTATTGTCTTTTTGCAGTTAAAGTATCAGAGGATCTTGGAACGTTTGGAAAAGGAAAACAAAGAGCTGAGGAAATTGGTACTGCAGAAGGATGACAAAGGCATCCACCATAGGAAACTCAAGGTGCTTTATCTAACTTTAGTAGTTCTCAGACATTGACATTTGTCATTGCGTGTGAAATAATGAATCTTCTAATTTATCTTTTTTAAAAAGTATTATGTGTATGAGTGTTTTACTGGCATGTAGATCTATGCAGCACCTGCATCTCTGGTGCCTGTGGAAGGCAGAAGAGGGCCTCAGATCCCCTGGAACTGTGGTCACAGATGGTTGTGTAAGCTGATGTGTGGGTGCTGGGAAGTGAACCTGCATCCTCTGGAAGAGCAGCCCATGCTCCAAACCACTGAGCCATCACTCCGTCCCCTAAATGATAAAACACTTTAATAAATTATGAAGCATATTATCGTCTTTTCACTTCTAGACAGTAAATATTTCATAAATTGTGGTGTCCAAATCCATTATATATTATGCCCAAAAGATCTTCATATTTTAATAGGACTTTCTTATGAATCAGTCTATTTTAATAAAATACCTAGGTTATCTTCAGGCTTAATTCTCATATTTATAAAATTGGGATTCTTTTAAATACTTTTTAAAAGTTATTATGTACGCATATATATGTGTGTGCCATGGGCATGGGTGTGTGTGTGTGTGTGTGTGTGTGTGTATGTGTGTATGTGTGTGTGTGTTGGGGGTTGGTTCTCCCTTACCTCCTTTACTGGGTTCCATGAGTTGAATTCAGGTCACCAGGCTTGTATGTATGGTATGTGCCTTTACGTGCTGAGCCATCTTGCCTGCCCCAAATTAGGATTTGTAGTTTACCAAATACTTATGTGGCTCATCCCACGGTTGCCTTACTAGTATTTCGATTTGATTTGTCTTTGGTTTTGAATTTTAACTCTTATTTTCCAGGGGAAGTTTTCTACTACAGCAATTAAATGTTTAAAAATAAGTGTATATTGATATTGTCATCAACATATTGTTAATTACCATATCAATAAGTAAGTCATACTATTGCCACAGACTCAAGCTAGATGTGTTAAGTTGATGTGGTTCTTTTAACTTGAAAGTTTAATACTGTAATCATTGTCTCAGGATAAGTAAAAAATGAGTTGCTGCAGGATTCTAGAGTCATAGTGGATCATGCCACATGTTCTAGAACCAAGACCGGAGATGTCTCTCTAGTTTAACAAACATGCTTTAGTAGCTTTGGCTCTAAGTCACCATCACCCAGTGTGGGAAAGCCTGGCTGTTTTACAGCTGCCAGCCACTGAAAGTCATGCTCAAGTGTTAGGAAACAGCTATTTTAGAAATGGGGCTTTCCCTCATGAGCGACAATGGGGAAATGTGCTTATTTTTAGGCAGATATGAGAGCACCTGTCTGCCATATAGGAGTCTCTATGTATTAAGAGGCAAAAGCATAGCCAGGCGTTGGTGGCGCACGCCTTTAATCCCAGCACTTGGGAGGCAGAGGCAGGCGGATTTCTGAGTTCGAGGCCAGCCTGGTCTACAGAGTGAGTTCCAGGACACCCAGGGCTACACAGAGAAAACCTGTCTCGGAAAAAAAAAGAGGCAAAAGTATGCTTAAACATTCATAGCGTTCCCACTAGCCTTACTTAGTATGCTTTATGGGTACCCTTTGTTCTCAGACATATGTGTGTTTGTTCCTTAGATAGTTTACTGGAAGCTGTTGTATTCGTGACTCCATGCTCAATCCTGGTGTCCAGAAAAAAGCAATGGAGGACATTTGTCCTTTGCTGCATGCATTGCAGCCTTCCCAGTTCTTAGGGTACATAGGCTCTCCTGCTTGAACACTGACCCCTGACCACTTCCCTACTCTGTTCCAGGCTCTCCCATGCACGTGCTCCCTGTCCTCTCTCCCACGCATGTGCTCCCTGCCCTCTCTCACACATGTGCTCCCTGCCCTCTCTCACACATGTGCTCCCTGCCCTCTCTCACTCATGTGCTCCCTGCCCTCTCACACGCATGTGCTCCCTCCCTGCTCTTCACTGTCATGTACTTCCTGCCTTCTACTTCTTCCCCTCCTTCTCTGTTCTTCTCACATAGCCTGGACTTGGCAGAGTGTGATTTCTCTGTCTGTCTGTTGATAACCCGGCCATGTATTTGACTCTTATGGTTAGTTCATTAATGTTAATAGCTTTCTCTTTTACTTTCTAACTAGATTATGATATCCTAAATTAATAAATAAACTGAAGAAGTGGCATTAATTCTTTTTTTATTTATTTTTAAATCAAATTGTAATTTTTACTTATTCACACAGTGGTTATAAACACAAAAAGGCAGGATGTGGGGAAGGGGATGACACCGGAGCATGGGTGTTCAGGGGGAGTACATATATCTTTCAGAACAGGGTATCGGCTGGGTGAAGGTTCAGGGGACAGGTCACTATGACTCTGCCTATGATTCACTTGTCCTTATCTAAGTTGGTACTATCCACCAAGGCTACCTATTTACAAGGTCTATGACTACTCAGGCTGATAAATTTCCACAAAAGCTGCCTGTTTACAATAGCTTATAGCCATCTGTTTCAATGTTTTTCCACAGAGACCCAAGTCTTTGTGTTAGCATACATGTATGACAGACCTAGTGCTGATTTTAGGCCTATGGTTAATTTTAGGCCTTCATTGTATAAGCAGGGCTGCCCCTGACATCTCCTCCCTTCTCTAAGTATAGAAGGGCTGTGGTGATTCTAATCTTTCGAAGGCAGGGATAGAGGCCTGACCTCCAGTAATTGAGGGGGACCTTGTAATGGCTCTGGTCCCCCAGTAATTGAAGGGGACCTTGTAATGACTCTGGTCCCCCGTTGTTGTCCAGTGAGGCATGAGGGCCATACCCATCCCAATGTCTTTTTCCTGGAGAGGGGATACTTTCGACATCAACCCCTATGCAGTCAGGCTTGTCCCTCAGGGGACCCAGAGAGAGATTTTTAACTTTTATTGATATTCCCTTGCAGTGCTTAGCCTCGCAGCCTAAGCAAGAATTCAGATCGACAGTCAGAGGGGGTTCTGGGTGGCCCCTCTCTGATAGGTCTAGGAGCAGAAGTCCCCTCTTTAAGGTTGGGTGGAGATGGGTTTTGAGAACACCCTGGATAGAGTAACAACCTCATCTTGAGTCTTGTGGTCCTCCAAACTAACTTATGATAATGTATCTGAATAGATTTTGCTACCAAATTGTTTACCTGTTGTTTCACAAAGTTAGTCAGCCTATTTAAGGCCCAGGGACCAAAAGAAATAAGCAAAAATAACCCAATTAGTGGTCCCAAGATGGGAGGAAGTAGGGTTGACAACCATGGAGAGGTTGAAAACCAATTCTTGTACCAGCTCTCATCTTTCTCTTTCTCTCTGTCTTTTCTCAGGTCCTTTTCTGACCTTTTTCATGCTCTCTTTAACCATCCCTGTCTTGTCTATGTAAAAGCAACATTCTTCTTTAAGAGCTGTACACAGTCAAGAGCTATACACAGTCTTTTCTATTGTAAAAGAGTAAATCAAGTCCAATAAAGTCCTTTGAAATTTTTGGGAGTCTCTTCAGACAGCGAAACGAGGGATTTCTTCAGATTAGTGATGTCAGTCTCTAGTTATTTGATGTCCTTGTCAATGGCCCATTGAAGATCTGAGTAGTTTAAGTTCCAAGGCCAGCATCTGGATTAGAACTTCTAACAGCAGACATCACGGGTGATTCATTTTTACCTGTGGACCCTGGGCTGGGTCTACATATACCTTAGAAATAACTAGGAATGTGACTCAACACCTTATGCAAGTTTTACTATGAAAACATTATGTAATAAGAAAAAAACCAATGCAAATTTGAATTTATCTACTTTTTCTTTTGGTGTATCTGTGGTCTTTGATTTTTTTTTTCTTCACTGACTTTTGTTCATTTTAATTTTTTTGCAGAAATCTTTGATTGATATGTATTCTGAAGTTCTTGATGTTCTTTCTGATTATGATGCCAGCTATAATACACAAGATCATCTGCCACGGGTAAGGAGAAAATAGACAGGGACCTGCTGTCAGCAGGAGAATTCTCTCCTTGTATCGTAGTAATTTCTGCATTTCCTGGGATACCTCAAACATGAAGCATTCCTTTGTTCTTTATTTTGGGGACCATAAAAGTAAATATATGTGTTTTGAAAGAAAATTGTCAGATATTTGCCATTATACATTCATTATAATGTTAAACTATGTAGGCAAAAGATGTAGACATATGGATGAAATTTAGTCTAACAGAATCCAAAAGTATGTTTGTAAAATATAAACTGACTATGGAAAATATTTGTAGAAAATTAATGATCTGGTTTTAGCAATAACTTTTAATTAACATTGTTTTCAAAACTAAAAATTTGAATATGAATAATGGAGCCAATTAATTCTTTTGCTATGTGTATCTCCAGAGTGCCTACATGCATCAAACTTCATTCTTTATTTAAAAAAATAAATAAATACTTTTTTTGGCTCTAAATATCTTAAAATATTTTTTAAATGATATCATTCAAACTCAACTTAGATTTAATTTGGTATCAGAAAAATACTAATACATGCTAGTTGTCTTGTGATAGGTTGTTGTGGTTGGAGATCAGAGTGCTGGAAAAACAAGTGTGCTGGAAATGATTGCTCAAGCACGGATATTCCCACGAGGCTCTGGAGAGATGATGACCCGTTCGCCAGTGAAGGTAGGAAGGGAGCCCGTCCCACTGATGAACCTCAGTGGTGGGATTCAGACTTAGCTAAAGAGGGGGCTCTCACACAGCATTGGGGATCATTCCCACTGTAGGAATTAGTAGGGGGCACAGCCCGGGGCATCCACATGTCCAGAGCTGAGAGTGAGTGAAGGAAGAGAGGTGGAAAAGGACATCCCAGGCACAGTGGCTATCTAGGTGGCACTGTAAGGCCTCTTGATGTTATCTGGAATAAGACACACAAAGAGGCTGTTCGCAGAGAATGAGACTATTGCAAGTGGTGTCAGCAAATGTAGATAATTTCCTATCATATTTATATGCTGGTTATCATGATCTGTTAAGCTAGAAAAAATGGTAGGAGGAAACCATTACAAGAACAGAGTCACTGAGGTAAAGGAGGTGTGTGTGTGCATGTACATGTGTGCTTGTATGCACTGAGCATGTGCAATATGTAGAACCACTAACAACTCGCCAATGGACACAGGAAGAAAGTAAATGGCTGTAGACTCTTTTATTAAGCAAATATTTATTCAGCTCTTAATATGTGCCAGTACTGACCTACCAGGCATGAGTAAACTTTTGACATTGTGGTATTATATATAGAACACTTGAGAACTGTGCAGCCAGATTACCAAATAAGTAAGCAAATATCTTGATATTTTAACTAAGTTTATGATTTGGTGTTGAGTCACATTCCTAGTTATTTCTAAGGTACATGTAGCCCAGCCTATGATCCACAGGTCAGATATACCTACCTTTAGACAGTGTGCAGTAAATTAAAAAAGATTCTTTCCATAAGCATAATATATATCAACTGTTTATACTATTTAGTATGTTAGAAATGGAGCCAGGAAAGTCCAGTGAGGATGACAGGACACTTGTACGTAGCTAAGGGGGCATTGAACTAAGATTTACAGACCATGAGAGAAGTAGTCAAGTTGCAGTCTGGTACAGTTATCTAGAGGCTAGCTGATGCACAGCTCTTAAGTCAGGGAGGCAGTCCCGTTGGAGGAATAGTAAAGAGGCCAGTGTGCTGGGCCACAGTGGAGACTCTTCAGTGACAGCTCAGAGGGATAATGGATGGCAGGGATAAGCAGATCTGCATGACCTGCTGGGACAGTTTACAGGCTGTGGTTTTTATTGGAAGTCAAATGGGAAGTCAGTGACATCCTGAGCAGACTTCCATCACCTTCAAAAAGACTCTGGCTGCTGTGTTGAAAGGAGATTTTTGGCAAGGTGGGCCGAATCATGGAGATCAGATGAAAGGCAGTTGGATTAGTTGGATAGGTATAGACAAGAAGTATTAGTGGGGTGAAAAGAATTGGTGAGATTACAAAACTGTTTAAAGAACCAACAAGGTTTCTTGATAGATTCATAACAAGAGACCAGTCATCAAGGACTTGAGTTTTGACATGAACAGTTTAAAGAATGTTATTTGCAAAGAAACATCAAAGGAGGTCCAGTTGGGGAGGATATTCAAGAGTTTGATTTTTCTTGCTAAAGGGAGACAATAAATCTGGATATACAGATTGGGGAGTGGTCTGGACCAGAGACATAAATTTTGGAATCAAGATGAAATATCTACTAGATAAGGTCTCAAAGGACTAAGTGGAAATAAAGATGCAGAACTTGCTAGGTTAGACGAACAGGAAGCCAGTGTGGTGGACCGTGAGCCAGAACCATGTCATCAACTAGGAGCCAGGGAAAGAAGGCATCAAAGAGGAAGGGACGGTGAGCGGGGAGCAAGGGGAGGCCAAGCACCAGTCATTCAGTTTACCATTGGGCCGGGTTAAGTGGGTGGGAGGTGAGGAGGCTCTCTGCTTGATTCTGCTTCCCCAGAAGAATATGCAGCCAGGTTATTAGCTGTTCAGATAAAGAAGACCTAGGCAGAAGAACAAAAGCAAAGGCTTTGTAAGAGATTATGGTGACTCTGCTGATGAAGTCAGGTAATACAAAGATCGAAGAGTCAGACTGAAGTCACCAGTGAGGCTGTGAGTATAAATTTAAAGTGAATCTGTGAGGTTGGGGGATTCGTTATTGTTTTTCTTTCACATTCATCTGATAGAGGTTAGTTATTGGAAAATTTAAATCACCAAGACGTATGCTCAGAATTGTGGTAGATACTGAGATAGTGAGACTGGTTTAAAATCTTGAAGTGATAGCAATGTAACTGCACCGAGGTGGAATATTATGTAACTCAAAGTATTCTTTGGGGTCTGACTGTGAGTTGGACTATATAGTGTGATAGTGGTTTCTCCTTCACTGATTGATGGTATTGAGTGTACTGAACTTTATACATCCATTTCACCACCCTCAGTTGGGGGTCTAGTGTATTTCAACTTAGGCACATGAAGCTCAGAACAAACCTGTGCCTCCTCTCATGCATAGTGATCAGTAGGAAAACCCTGGGAGTTCATCTTTTACTTTACTACAGGCACCATAATTGTAGAGGCTGTGTGTGATACTTCAGGAAATTAACTGTCCTGGGAGGCAGGTTGCTTTCAGAGAGACAAGCCATTGTCTTCTGCTTGATAAACTCTTATTTGTGTCTCCTCAGAGCAGTGAAATTGGCAAATCTGGACTTAGCATTTTGACTTCTTTATCCCAGCTTTCTGCTTGGTTTCTAAATATCCCTGATTTGAAGGGACATTGAACATAAGATGAAGGATTAATTTCTTGGCAGTTCATTTTAGCAGGGTTTTTTTTGTTTTGTTTGTTTTGTTTTTTTTTTTTTTTTTTGGCTAGGATTTTAACACCTGAGTTCTCAATTGCTTAAAAACCCTGAATTCCAATTTTTTGTTTACTTGTTTTGTTTACTTATTTTGGCCTGTTGGACAGTGTAATTGCCATAGAGTTTAAGCTTCTTCTATTAGCCCTTTGTCCAGCACCATAAATCAGCAAGTACTCCAAGGAAAATAGCTATAGGACAATCCCCAAGGCCTTTGAGATAGTTCTTTCAGCAGCTGGTTTCTGTTTTCTTATGTAACTTGCTTAGCTTATCTCAGTGTAAGCAAATACATTTTTTAAAGTTAAACAGTATAATGATACCTTGGAATGTATGCACTAAAAGTTAAGGAATGTCACATTTAGAAGCTCTTGTAAAATGACTTGCTGTCACTGCTATTGTTAACGATTTCTCCCCAAGGCCTCTCCTAAGAAGCTTGCTATGACTCCTGGTGGCCAGGGTCAGTCTGTGCTGTGGTACCTTAGCTTTGCCTACGCTCTGCCTGAATGTATAGAGTGAGGTCTGGAGCAGAGGCGCTCAGCCCTGTGGTTCCCCATCTGTAGTGAACTTAGTGAGCAACAATGGCTAAATGAGCTGCCCTCTCCCTGAATTCGTCTCAGGTTAAATGCTGGCTTCTCTTTGAATCCTTCAAGCTGTAGAGGACTGGTTTCTGTTCTTGGTTGTCTTCAGAGTATTGCCCAAAGGAGAGAGGCCAGCAGCACTAGGTCATAAAAAGACTCAGAAGCCACCAGTCCCATTGCGAAGTGACAATGCCGAGCAGCCATGCTTGACTGCAGCTGAGCATAGCATAAAGGTGCAATGATTGGCCCTGTCTGGACTGTCCAGGTGCTGTGATTAATGTTACTGTAAGTGTATCATTATGTATGTCTGTCCTTCCAGGTGACTCTCAGTGAAGGCCCTCACCATGTGGCCTTGTTTAAAGATAGCTCTCGGGAATTTGATCTCACCAAGGAGGAAGACGTAAGTAGACCTCATTTCAGGTTCATCCGTGTCACCTTATAACCCTGTGTTCTCTAAGACAGTGAAATGGAGAATTTGTCATGAATACTGTCTTAGGACTTTGTTCTTTTCCATTAATAGCTTGCAGCATTAAGACATGAAATCGAACTCCGGATGAGGAAAAATGTGAAAGAAGGTTGTACTGTTAGCCCTGAGGTAAGGCCAGCGATTCATTTCAGCATGATTGGGGGAAATGAAGTTTTTATGGATATTAATAATATGGATATGGATATTAGTATGGTATTTAGATTGTGGCTGCTCCAATATGTATAGATACTTTTTTTTTTTCATTTTTAATTTACTTTTCTTTTTTGAGGCAGAGTCTCACTATTCAGCCCTGGCTGGCTTAGAACTTATTATGTAGACCAGGCTATTCTTGAACTCACAGAGATCCATCTGCCTCATAGATGCTGGGATAAAAGGCATGTGCCATCACACTCAGCAGATTTTTTTTTCTTTCCCTTTTTTTTTTTTTTTTTTTTTTTTTGGTTTTTTGAGACAAGGTTTCTCTGTGTAGTCCTGGCTGTCCTGGAACTCACTCTGTAGACCAGGCTGGCCTCGAACTCAGAAATCCGCCTGCCTCTGCCTCCCAAGTGCTGGGATTAAAGGCGTGCGCCACCAACGCCTGGCTAGCAGATTTTTTTTAAATGTTCTAAATAACATATCATTGTAGGGTGAATTTTCTAGAATAATTTCTGTGGGATGAAAAGAAGATAGCTCTTTTCTGAAATAAATATCTAAATGAAAAGAGAGAAAATTAGCAGAATATTTAATATTCTTAAGAAATTCGCTCCACAAGAGACTGATCTTTCTCTTTCTGAATAGACCATATCTTTAAATGTCAAAGGCCCTGGGCTGCAGAGGATGGTGCTCGTGGACTTACCTGGTGTCATTAACGTAAGTACATACGGAAAATACGTTCCATTTTATTCCTCCTGTGGAAGCTATCTGTAATGACTCTTAAAACCTTTTCTTCAAGACCGTGACATCAGGCATGGCTCCCGACACAAAGGAAACTATTTTCAGTATCAGCAAAGCTTACATGCAGAATCCTAACGCCATCATCCTGTGCATCCAAGGTAAACCCCAGCAGATTCTCACTGCCCCATGCTTCCTTCTTACACTTGAAGCATTGCAGCAGCACATACCTGTAAGCACACATGACAGACATGTTCTCACCTCTCTTGTTCATTCTGCCAACAAATGGGGTTTAAGCTGGGTAGTTTCTGATATTTTTCATCACTGAAATTTTTATTGGCTCCATTCATAAAGTAAACATGTTGAGACTAAAGGTTTACAGTCAGTGATAATCACAGTGCTGTTTTTCCTTTTTCAGATGGATCTGTAGATGCTGAGCGCAGTATTGTTACAGACCTGGTCAGCCAGATGGATCCACATGGAAGGAGAACCATATTTGTTTTGACAAAAGTAGACCTGGCAGAAAAAAACGTAGCCAGTCCAAGCAGGGTGAGGGCAAGTTCTTTATTGTGAGAATGAGTGAGAGAGAGGGAAGGAGGGAGAGAGAGAAAGAGAGAGAGGGGGGGAAAAAGAGAGAGCAAGCATGCACAGGCTATTTTTTTCCCCATATGGGTTCTGGGATTTTCAATTAGGTGTTTGAGTTTTCAGAGTGAGTGCTTAACCAACTCAGCTATTTCCCTAGCGTTGAGAATTTAGGCTTTTTCTGGGTGCAGGTCTGACTTAAGACATACTCTTTAAGGTACACAATGGTAGTTAAAGAAGATTTGCTTAGTTCTAAATCCTTGCACTACCATTTGCTAGCTGTGTGATCTTGGAGTAAGTTATTCAGCTTTTTGGTGCTTTAGGCTCCTCGTCTGGTAGGAATGAAGACATTTATGATATGATCTCATAGTTTGTGATGAGTTAATAGTCAAATAATGCACAGTAGTTAGAATGGTTCCCTGGCACCAAGTGTTACGTACCTGACTTGTTTACAGATGATGAATTCGTATTCTATAGTTGCCTGTAGAACAATGCTATTGGGTTCTCATCCTCACTGCTACTGCATAGGATGTCTCTTTCCCACTTTATACCTGTGGGACTTTGCCTCTCTGTCAGGGTCCCCAGGAGCAATGATTCTTTGACGGACCCCCAGGGCTTGCCACATAGTCATACTTGCCTTAGAGATGCATTACAGAGCCATGAAGGAGAAGATGCATGGGATACAGTCTAGAGGCGTCCTCCTCGAGTTTCCAGGAGCCTTCTCTCAGAGACAGAGCCAAAATTTCAAATTCTCAGAAGAAAACTAGTTAGCACATACCACATTACTTATCCAGAAATGCCAGACAAAGGAAAGCAGGCCTTTTGTGTTGTCCCCTCAAGCCTGCTGTGGTAACTTGTCTTTGAGCCTCTACTCCCTCTGCCTTATCTTTAAGAGCAAGGCAGTATTGCTATGACAGTGTTGATCCTCCTGTGAAGAAGGTGAAGCAAGGCAGAACAGTGTGTACGACCTCCATCTCTCCCCGTGTTGCTTTCATTCCTTTCTCCTCTGGGATAGTCACTTCGAATCTCATCTGAGATGCAGTGGAAGCTTACTTCAGGCCTTTCTGTGGCAAAGACCTGAGTTTTTAGCCCAGATTTAACTTATCTTTCCTGGGGTTAATCTAAACGGGCCTCCAGAAGTAGAAATTGTCACATCATGTGTGAATGATGGGTATATGTGAATATGCACTTTCCTGGATCCTGACTCCAGTGTTTATCACACTCAGAAAAGGATTTTTGTCCTTAAAAGAGTTGAAAACCAAAATATGTTACTTTAAGTAGGTATAAGAAGAAAAATGGAGCCGGGCGGTGGTGGCGCACGCCTTTAATCCCAGCACTTGGGAGGCAGAGGCAGGCGGATTTCTGAGTTCGAGAGTTCGAGGCTAGCCTGGTCTACAGAGTGAGTTCCAGGACAGCCAGGGCTACACAGAGAAACCCTGTCTCAAAAAACCAAACCAAAAAAAAAAAAAAAAAAAAAAAACAAAGAAGAAAAATGGATAAAAAGCAATGTAACTTGGTTAGAATTAAGATATTCAGGGTCCACAAGATGTCTCAGCAGGTAAAGACACTGTAGCAAATCTAACATGAGTTGGATCCCTAGAAAGAGAGCTAACTCCCACAGTTGTCTTCTTATCTCCATAAGTATTCCCACACATACAGAGAACAAATGTAATTCTTTAATTTCATACAAGAGTTTAAATTTTCAAATATTCAAAGAAATTATAAGGAAAGAGGAATAAAGCAATTTTTGTGTGCCTCTCTGTGCTAGCTACTGCACTAAGTGTCACTATCTCAAAATCTCTATAACCTTGTTTTTAAATTAACTTATTTGTTTAAGGTCACATAGCTAGTAAATGGCAGAGGAAGAACCCCAAACAAGGTCTGACAGAAGCACTGTGAATCATTCCAAGTTTTAATCTTGGTATATACATTTTGATAAGATATTTTCAGTATATCTAAGGTAAATAACAATAAGAACAAATTTATATACTTTTGAGTACTGGTAGATAATACATGTCTAGAGTTTTAACATTTTGCTTCCTAAATCGCATGTTGTACTTTTAAAACTGAAGTGAGTCTATATTTCACATTTATTTTTCCAATTTATTAAAATAGATCCAACAGATAATTGAAGGCAAGCTCTTCCCAATGAAAGCTCTGGGTTATTTTGCTGTTGTAACAGGAAAAGGTATGTAAAGATGGATTATTATAACTTACTTTTAGTTTTTGTTGTTTGAGATAATAAAGATTAATTTTCTTGATGACAATTTGGTCACCATCTTTCCTAGGAAACAGCTCTGAAAGCATTGAAGCTATAAGAGAATATGAAGAGGAATTTTTTCAGAATTCAAAACTGCTAAAGTAGGTGTCATATTATAATATTCAATGACGTTACAGTGAGAGCTTGTCACCCTGAACTACTTCAACTTTATTGATCATGTCTTGTAGCAGTTAGCTTACTGTTAGCCATTTATCCTCATAGTGGTGTGTATCTAATGGGGCTGTCCTTGAGTACTTACTCTTGGGAAGCAGTTTATCACATGGTACAGTAGACTGCCTCTGTGGATGTGGGCACAGAGACAATTCTTATACCTCTTATGTTGTTTTCCCTAGAAAGTGATTTTTTAATTAATGTTTTTATTTTTTAAATATGTATTCACATTCCTCTTATAGTAATAGAAAAAGTTGAGTGGGAGGTGGCAAGAGGATATTCCTAAATAGATACTGGAAACATATGACAGGAAAGTTAGATACGGAACCACAAAATGAAATGGAAGGACTGAAAGAGCAATTGAGTTACACGGAAAGTTTCTATGCCTGCCTCAGATTGGTCCAGAAGTAAGAATCGTTCCTGCAGGCCCAGCCCAGGAGTTCTCTTTTTATTGGGAAGGAAGCCACGAGCCTGTAGAACTGTACTGTCCACTGGTGTGCTCACTGATCATGTGCACTCACCACACTGACCAGTGTCTCATAGACAAAAGCCATCCCCTCAGCCACGCTAGTCACGGGCTTCAGAGCTCAGTAAGTGCTTGCCTTGCTGGACAGCTCAGATAAGACCCATCCTCTTCCTTGCAGAAACCCTTTCTGGGTAGTGTTAGTGTGAAGTAAGTGCTCCTTTGTCATTCTGACACACTTTAGCTCTGGTCTCCTATAGGACAAGCATGCTAAAGGCACACCAGGTCACCACGAGAAATCTAAGCCTTGCCGTGTCAGACTGCTTTTGGAAAATGGTTCGAGAGTCGGTTGAACAGCAGGCTGATAGTTTTAAAGGTAAGCTGGCTTCTTAAAATAAGCCTACAAATCCAGTCATGTGACAGTTGACAGTCTTCCGAATTCAGCAGATTTTTTTACTTCCTTTCTCAGTCTACAAGTACTTGATTTACTATTGGACAATATATTGAAAATAGAGAGGTGCAAACCTTCCCCTGTACAAAAACTGATTTTCCCTGTCAGAGCAGCAGGCTTGCAGTAGTGTTTAGAGAAAGCTCAGTTGGCTGTAGAGAACATGGGTCCTCCCTTACAGGGGAGACTCTGGGAGTACATTGTACTGTTTGCCAGGGCCCACCCTCTGCACCATTCTGTAGCTTCATCCATTGGAAATAGGTTCTTTCCTTGCCCTTGGGAATTTACTATTCATTCTACTTAGAACCACAGCAAGTTTGTGTTATCTTTATTTCCATTTCACAGAAGAGAAGGCAAAGATGCAGAGTAACTTATCTAACCAGTGTCTGTAGCATTAGACCCAGGATGTAAATTACATTGGCAGACCTTGTTTTCCTAGCAGTGGCACTACACTGCTACAGCTGTGGAATTGTAAAATGAAGTACATAAAACTACAAGTAAGGAAAATAGTTTAGACAACTGTAATAATAAAATTCAGAATGTCAGAGCAGACACCCTCAGAAACTTGGCTAATACAGAAGTTAGAGAAGTAGCTTTCAACTACTGTGTCTGAAAGACGGAACAGTTGGACCTGAGCACCTTCCTTTCTCCACAGCAACACGCTTTAACCTAGAGACGGAGTGGAAGAATAACTACCCTCGCCTGCGAGAGCTCGACAGGGTAATAATCCAAAGGCCCACAGTCTTGTATATACTTTAATTTACTGTGTTCTTTCAGAGTTCTTTGTGACCTGGAGAGCTAAATTGCTGTGATTTTAATGACGATCACTTAGGAATAGTTGTCTTTTCTACAATAACTATTACAACATTTTAAAATAATTAGGAATCATAAGATATAAAACACACTAAAATGTTTTCTGTGAAAGTTATGAATATCTCTAGTAGTCTTATTGATATATGCCTATATAATATAATTTTTGGTTTTAGTTATATATTAGCTTTTTACTTTCTTGGTATTTACCTTGGAAATAAGGTCCATTTAATGGGAACTAAATATTAAAATAGCATTAGCTATAAGACCTAGCATTAGCTTACTATTACTGATCACTGTATTGTGTGTTGCTTCTTTAGCCATTGTTATGTGGAAATGTTATGTTTAAAAAGCTGCAGTGAGAATTGAAAGGGTAGACAGTGTGCTTGCTTCTCAGTCTTTATCTGAGTAAGGATATTCCTAAAGGAGACTAGAAGGTCATTTGTTAGTCTTGCATCTTCAACCCAAAACTTAGCCAACCACTCTATCTGTGCTCTCCTTTTGGGTATCTCTGAAGGACATGACAGGACAAATATAGTGTCTTATGATAATGCTAATTTGTATCTGTGTTGCCTAGAATGAACTATTTGAAAAAGCTAAAAATGAGATCCTCGATGAAGTCATCAGTCTGAGCCAGGTTACTCCAAAGCACTGGTGAGTGGTCATCTTTTTCTCAATGTCTTTTGCTCTAACATAGAGGAAAGCAGTGGGTTTCTTGCCTGTGTTCCTCCTTCAAAGTGAAGTAGGCCAGAGAGTGAAGTGTGTCTCCTTGAAATATAGCTGCAGCTGTGGTCAGTCAACTGAACATCTGCACAGTAGCTTACTCAAGGGTTCTTTTGAATCTAGCTTTGTCTTCAGCTTATCTTCTCCTGGTTCTTAAGAGATACAGACTTGTGGTTTCTCTAGAGTAATTTACACATAATTTCATAAAATTGCCACAAAATAACTTGTCAGGACTGGTTATTACTAATGGAGAGTAGCATCCTAGGGAACCTTGTTCTGTAGAGGAAGAGTAGTATATGCTTTTAAGCTCTCATTCCAGAGCAGAACTGGTGATTTCTGTAACCTGTATGTGCTGAGCTATGCACAATAACATTTTTTTAAATTTTACCTGCATGTGTCTGTGACCCACAGAGGCCAGAAGAGGACGCTGGACCTCTAGAACTGGAGTTGCTTACAATTGTGAGCTGCCCTATGGATGCTGGGACTAGAACTTGTGTCCTCTGATATAGCCACCAGTGCTCTTAATCATTGTGCTGGCTCTCCAAACCCACTATATGCTACTTTTTTTTTTTTTTTTTTTTTTGCTTCCTACTTAGATTTCTTTTTTAAGTAGTAAATTGATCCCTTTGAAAATTTCTCATATGAATCCTATGGGAAGCTATCATCTTCAATTTATGTTTATTTAAATATAGGCATTCTTAAACTTATTGGAACAGGGCATTAAAAGCAAATAGACAGAACCAGAGACAGTAGCAGATATCTGTAATCCCAGTACACAGGAGCCGGAAGGAGGAGGAACACAAATTCTCAGGCTGCCTGTACTCCATGGGTAACCTTGTAGCAACAGCAAGACAAACTACATGTAGTTCAAACAAACTATATACAAAAAGTTCGAGAATTTTTAAGTGTATTTTAATTAACAAATTACTCATGCCTCGGTTATCTTCTAATAAATCTGTGGTATTTAAAAATATGTCACTCTTGACATAAAATATCCTTATCACAATTCAAGATAGGTATAGGTAGGTAGGTAGGTAGAAAGATAGTTTCCCAGTACTTTTGTTTGCAGACTATCACACTGAGTCACAGCACTAGCATCTGGTCCCTGAGTTTGGATTTGTTTTCACCAGTTTTCTAGTCTCAGCACCCTTCCTTCCTCAGTGATGCCCCCTCTTTCTTAAGGTCATCAATATTTGCCAAATATTTAATCTCTCCTTGTTAAGAAAAGATATCTGATCTTATTTTTAAAAATTGACAAATCAAACATATGTGACACAAACTATTGTGTTTCTTATTTATATTTTAAACCAGTTCAGTGACTTTGTGTAATTGTTAGCTCTTGAAATTTCAAGAGATACAGATATATAGATATCTACCTAAGAAAATTTAAATTTAAAATATATGTTAAACAAAAAATAATAAAAATAAAATATAAAACTATGAGTAAAATTAAAATACTGTATGTAGTCCTAGTTGCCTTCCTAGGTTGTATAAGGATAATGTACATAAAACACAGTTTATAAATCATAATTAATGGACTGAGTGTCCAGTCAGTGGTAGAGTGCCTGCTTAGCCAGCCAAGGCCTGGGCTCTCTTCAGTACCACCAAAAGGAAAAAACAGCCTATAGCTGATAATATTATTTATGGTAAGGAAAATGTGATCTTTCTACAAACTATTATTTATTGTAAATAAAATTAGCATTGTTTAATACACAAGGGACTTACAGAGTTGTGAAAGGATAGCCAGTGATACTTCCTTGGAGAAGACACAGCTGAGAACTACAAGGCCTGATGGCCAAGAATCCCTGGCTACCTGATCACATGACCTCTAGCCATTCCCAGCCTTCACTGTTCATTCTGCAATGGGTTTAACTACATTATACTAAAGATAGTTCAGTAGCATAGTTGAGATCACGTTAGAGCAGTGGTTGTCAGCCTTCCTAATGCTGCAGCATTAAATACAGTCCTCATGTTGCAACCATAAAATTATTTTTGCTACTTCATAGCTAATTTTGCTACTGTTATGAGTCATAATATAAATGTTTGATATGCATATAATGTTAGGCTACCCCTGTGAAAGGGTCACTCCACCACCCCAAGGAGTCACACCCCACAGGTTGAGAACTGCTGCCTTAGAAGTTTTCGTTAGTATTACTTAATGGCGTAGTGACATCACATGGCACTTTAAGATGGATGAATGCCTTAAATCTGTGAATTATTGAAGTCCTAGGACTACATAGTAAGTGTCCTAATGGGATAATTTATTATTTACTTACAGACATTCTGTATACTTTAGTCATATTTTAAGAAAGGAATCCTGGGGTTCAATTTGAGATATAATCTGTTACAGTGTAATTACACACAATGCATTTGTCCAGCAATGTACATGATCTTTAAATTTAGCTACTGACATTAAATGAGATACTGGTGTGTCATTAACACATAACTATCTTTTTTAGCCCAATAATTAGCTGATTTTATAGAAATACACTCTAATGGAATCCAGTATTGTGGTATACATGCAATTTTTGATGAAAAGTATTAAGTTTACTTTGATTAGTTTAAAAGATTAAAACAAAAGTGGGAAAAAATAGTTGAATCCCTTAATTCAAATGTGAAGAGTCTGAAATTTATGGTATCATAGTGTGAAACTTAAAGAGTGGATTGGTGTTAAGTAAAGACGATAGCAAGGGGATTGCAGAGCCAGACAGTAAGAGGAAGAAAGAAAATGTGGATGTTTGTGTCCTCGGCTTTCTCATAGAGACAGAACAGGAGCTGTGAGCAAGTTTGTTAAGGCTGTTCAAGAGGAGAACATGTAAGCAAGGAAACACGAGGTCATGTGACTTGAACATGGGCAGTAGTAGTGCAGGTGGGAGAGAGTCTTGCAGTATTTGAAGTGTGACAAAGCAAATGGAATTGACAGGTACTGACCGGATATGTAAGTCATAGGGAAGGAGATCTAGTCCACCCAGTCATTCTACCCGTCATTAGGTGGTGTGTCCTCTTTGTGGGGACTGCACAGCACCTGAACACTAGTGAGCAAGCAAGGTGAAGCCAGCTGCTAGGCCCAGTGTGGGCTGCAGGGATGTCTCAGATCTCACTGTGGTGACCCAAATGATCACACTGTAGCTTTGGTTTTCTTGTCAGTTTTTGTTTTGAGTTTTGTTTTGTTTTGTTTTTGCATTCTATAACAATAGAACTTATTTCAGTGGAAGCCAAATAAATACTTTCTTGAGATTTTAAGTATTTTCATGGTAGAAATGGTTGTCTTGCCAGGCAGTGGTGGCACACGCCTTTAATCCCAGCACTTGGGAGGCAGAGACAGGTGGATTTCTGAGTTCGAGGCCAGCCTGGTCTACAGAGTGAGTTCCAGGACAGCCAGGGCTACACAGAGAAACCCTGTCTCGAAAAAACAAAAAAAACAAAAAACAAATTTAAAACCTTTCGGCCTCGGACTCCGCAGTAAACATTCAGAGCGTCTGTTGGGATTTAGTAAATGAGCACATGCGAATGCACTCAGATAGACACGTCAACTGTAAACCCACTAACAGCCTGAGAGTTGAGACAGAGCTGTGAGTGGAGAGCATCTGGGACCCTCCTTCTCTGCTGGCGGGAATTTAGCCAAGGGCTGAAGGGGGTGCTTAAAAACTAAACAAAAAGCTGCCTCAGAGTCACCATTCCAACCTTAGATGAGTCCCACAGAAAGGGAAACCATGCATCCTCAGAGAGACTTGTGATGATGCCCACAGCAGCTTGTTTGAAATGGACAGCAACTAGAAATCGCCATGACCACCCAGGAACGGGTGGACACATACGCCAGTGGACACAATTGATGGTGCTTAGCAATAAAAAGAAGTGAAATAGAACTAGGTGTAGTGGCACAAGTGTTTAATCCCAGCACTCAGGAGGCAGAGGCAGTTAGATCTCTCTTTCAACGCCAGCCTGGTCTACAGAGTGAGTTCCAGGACAGCAGAGCTACACAGAAAAAACCTCTCTTGCAAAGCAAGCAAACAAATGAGAAGTAAAATGGTAATACACCACAGATTTTAAAATAAGTATGTTGGGTGAAAGAAGGTAGGTAGACCAGTACATGCTATGTGATTACATTTATGTAAAGGTATAGAAAATACAAAGTAATGTAATAACAGCAAGTTGTGGTTACACATCTAATGAGAGACGTTTCTCTTGGTTCCTCTGAATCACAGATGTATACATATCCCAAATTTTCAACCCTTCAAGTATGTGTAGTTAATTGCTACTGCTAGTGATACTTCAGTCAAGCTATTTTTAAAACGTTTAGTGCTATATTGGCTTTCTTGAAACTTCTTTTCAATTTCAGGGAGGAAATCCTTCAGCAGTCCCTGTGGGAACGAGTGTCAACACATGTGATTGAGAACATCTACCTTCCGGCTGCCCAGACCATGAATTCGGGAACATTTAACACCACAGTGGACATCAAGCTTAAACAGTGGACTGACAAGCAGCTTCCTAATAAAGCAGTCGAGGTTAGGATATAATGTAAATGGGTAAGAAGCATTGTCTGGAGGCTCTAGGTGCTGTGGCTTGTGGGTCTGTCTGCCTCACAGTCACTGTCTTTCTCTGGAGCCATAACACTTCATGTGTGCTCTGCTCCTGCTTCTCTGTTGGAGCTAACCTTGGCATTGTTCTCATTTGCTGCTAACAAGAAAGTTTACTAATCAGGATGCCTAAAGGCCTTGCTTCTCCTGCCAGAGATAGCATTTAATAACACCTCAAAGCTGGCCTGAAGGTGAAATAGTTTAATCCTTTGAATTGAGCTTCTGTAAGGTGTACCTTTACATAGACTAAACATTACTGCTTTTACATTTTCTCCAGGACCTATAACACTTACATATGCATTAAGTCTGGGTCTTACTAGTTTTGTCTAGGAATCATTTCCAAAATAAAAGCACCTTAAAGAATCCATTTCTGTCCTGTGGTGTCTTTGCCCGACTACATGAAAACTGACAGCTGCCCTACTTGCTCAGCCTTCCTGCCAGGGTTGCTGTCAGGATTAGTGAGTTAATATATAAAATACTCAGGAAACACCTAGCCCATTCATAGTAACCACTCAGGATTATCTGCGTTATCAGCATTGGTCCAGCATCTCGTTCCAGCTGAGAGCCAGTTTGCCTAGACTCTGAAGAGTTGCTCAAAAACTTGGGGTCAATACTAAAAGTGATTTTCTTTTTCATACCTGCCTTGGCAATGGCATTGGCTGTCCTGCCCAGGGTGACTTCTTCAGCACTGTTCTCACCTTCCCAGGCCTCTAGAATGGCTATGCATATCTGCTCCCAGCAGCCCTTGCAGCCTCTGCCTACGTTGCATGTTCTGAGCTCTGGTCATTTCTTGACTTTCCATGAAAATAATTGGAGAGCTGCTGCCTCCTCACAGTGTTCTGGGTGTGTCCCGAGATGGGACATTTGCAAATGGCCAAAACTTGAGCGGTGAAACTAGTCATCATCATCATGGTACCAGTAATTCTGTCTTTCTGCTTTCTGCCCTGGGCTTTATGTTGAGGGAAGGAGTAGAGCCACCGAGGATCCGAAGCTGCAGGTTCATTCCTGTCTCACACGAGGCGTGGTAGTCCGTGCCTGTAACCCTAACACTGGGGAGGCTTTGCCTCGAGTGCACAACAAACAGAACAAACCCCCACCCACCCACCCACCCACTCCTACCCCGATCCCCCCACCCCCACCATCTAGGTGTACATTCAATTGTGAATACTTTTGCCCTGTGGTCTTCCTTCCACAGTTGAGATGAATAAAAGTTATCACAAAGCTGAATCCAAAATACCTTGTAGTACTTGAAGCTTTGATATGAATCTTTGCTTGTAGGCACAGCTGTAAAGACGACTGGCTCAGTAAGTAACAACTTCAACTTGGAGTTGTGTGGCAGCAGCAGGCAGGCTCAGATGTGTTACTGCTTACAGTAAGGAAAGTAAATGTGTTGGCAGACTTGGGATGTAGGCCTCACCTAGAGGAGCCAATCCTGCTCAGCTTAGCAAGTGACGTCCTGTCGAACTATGACTTGATTGTTTTCAGGTATTCTCAAGCCCTGGAGGTCCAGATGTGTTTGTGAAATCTCAGTTTTTAAAATCGGCAGCATTTTTTTAACAATGCCTCTATGTGTTACCCCGCCTGTCTTAGAACTCACTCTGTAGACCAGGCTGGCCTTGAACTCACAGAGATCACTTGCCTTTGCCTCCTCAGTGATGGGATTAAAGGCGTGTGCCACTGCACCCAGCTGTGTTGCCTTTTTATTAGTGTGCACACATTTATGACTGAACAAGCGTTTCCTGATAACAGTTTCATGGTTTTATGATAGTTTTTCATGTTGCATATTTAATAAGAGAAAGCTCTATAAATATAGCCTTTTCTTTTATATCTAGGTTGCTTGGGAGACCCTACAAGAGGAATTTTCCCGCTTTATGACAGAACCCAAAGGAAAGGAACACGATGACATATTCGACAAACTTAAGGAGGCTGTGAAGGAGGAGAGTATCAAGCGGCACAAATGGAACGACTTTGCAGAGGATAGCTTGGTATGTACAGCTTTGTCTAACTTACATAGTCCTATGTGCTGCCTACGCACCTTTACAGCCCTCGGCGTGTTAATTTCAGCCACAAGAGACTCCACTTTATTTGTCCGATAAAAAACTGACATGCAGCCAAATAAAAGGAGCTGCTGCCTTTCTGTGGGAATAACCTACTGCTATTTGTTATGTTTGATACTTACTAATCACTGACACATGGACCATAAATTAAATGTTTTTCTGTCCTGACCATTTCAGAGGGTCATTCAGCACAATGCTTTGGAAGACAGGTCCATATCAGATAAGCAGCAGTGGGACGCAGCCATTTACTTCATGGAAGAGGCACTTCAAGGTCGTCTCAAGGATAGTAAGTAGGCGAGGGAGCTCTTGGGTTATAAGCATTGTAAAATACAATCAGCGGGCCAGCGAGATACTCAGTGGACAAAACACTTGCCATGAGTCCCTGAGCCCACGGTGGAAACAGAGAACAGACTCCCCAAAGTTGTCCTCTCACCTCCATTCATGCACTGTGGTGTGTGCACTTCCAAATTCACGCATATGTCATATATACAGATACACAGTTCATTAATTTTTAGTATGTAATTAACATTTCAAAGCCTTTTTCCTGAATACAGTTGAATATTTATATGTGGGATTTTTTTTTTTTTGGTCAGTTGCTTTGTGACTCATAAAGAGAATAATTAAGTTGGATACCAGATATTTATATGTATCCCTACTCAAAGGAATTCTGTAAACAATTGTACTCATAGAGTTTAACCACACAGTTATCATACCTTTGCCATACTAATATCAGAACAATCATATAGATTGTCTCTTTATTTTAATTAATTTTATATTACTACAGCATTTATTAATAATAACTTATGAACATTGTTAGTTATAATTCATAGCCTTGGTAAGCAATAAAATTCCTACTGAATTAATTTTTATCTTTCTTGTAGCCGAAAATGCTATTGAAAACATGATTGGGCCAGACTGGAAAAAGAGGTGGATGTACTGGAAGAACCGGACACAAGAACAGGTAGGAACACAAACACCTGTGTCCTCGTGCCGGCGTTTTGCTCATGGTTTATATGGTTTGGTGTTGTGGTTTTCTGTAGACCTGGCTGGCCTTGAACACACAGAAGTTCTGCTTCAGCCTCTTACTGAGATGACAGGCTACACCAAAAGACTCTTAACACGGCAGCATGAACACCTATGACCACAAGGCTCTGAGGTGGAGACAGGAGAATCTCTGTGGCCACTGGTTGCCAGCCTGGCTCCAGGTTCACTGGGAAAGCCTGTTGAGGGGAATAAGGTAAAGAGTAACAGCGTAGGGCATCTAATGTCTTCCTCTCACCTCTGCATGTGCCCACAGTGCTAGTAATCACACATGTGTACACAGTCTTCTCATGGCTCTACAAGATTTTTTAGCATTTTATTTACATTTCTAAAATGCAGTTAATCTGTTTTATTAAAAGATTAAAAAAGAGAAAATGTACTTCCTTTGTGGTGACTGCTTTGTTCATTTCAGTTCCCTAATTGAGGTTCAAAAAAAGAATAGTTGGGCTAGAGAGATGGCTCAGTAGTTAAAGCACTTGCTGTCTTATAATGGGTGGGTTAAGTCAGTTCCCAGCACCCAAGGGACAGCTCACACCCAACCTGTCTGTAACTCTAGTTCAAGGGAACTGACTTCCTCTTCTGGCCTGAGGGCACCAGACATACACATGGTGCACATATCTACATGCAAACAAAACACATGTACACAAGGTAGGATAAATAAAATCTTTTTAAATAAAAAGCAGTTGTAAACAAAAACATTAAACAGAATCAAAGGATATGTGACAATTGTGGTTAGGAAGAATACAGATTTTTTTTTCTAATATTATCTGTGGATTTTTCTGTTGGATGCATATTTAAACTATTTTATATTTTTGTAGTAATTTTTGTTAATGTGCATACAAACTAAATATGAAGCTTTAGAGAGGAAGTATGATAGAACTCGTCCTTTAATAAACATTGAGTGAGCACTTCAGAAGAACAAAGTGGCAAAGCTAAGTGTAAACAACTTTAAAAATTGAAAAACTGGAGAAAAATGTGTGTCATCCCCACAACCCTTTTTATTCCCTTACAGCTGTTTGTTTGTTTGTTTGTTTGTTTGAGACAGAGTTTCCCCGTGTAGCCCTGACTGTCATAGAACTAGTTCTGCAGACCAGACTGGCCTCAGAATTCTAGAGATCAGCTCACCTCTGCCTCCTGAGAGCTGGGATTAAAGATATTCAGTTCTTAAAGGGAAGTGCATAAATAGAATATAGAATATAGAATCAACATATATAAATGATTAACGTAATAAGAGGTGGTATCTAGTCCACTTGCTGTTTTTTTTTCCTGTGTTCACTGAATCTGCTTAATTAGCAAAAAAGATGCAAAATGTGGGAAAGAGAATCAAATACTCTCAAAGAACATACCCTTTTTTCTTTGTTTTTATTTACATTTTAAATAAAATTAATGAAATATATGATTGAAGCTCTGCTTCTTTTCCAGTATCGCACACTTCTTGTTTCATTAGCTCCCTGTGTTAAGTGACATGACCCTGAGTCAGCAGCACGTCTGTTCTCACTGCTGTACAGGTGGGCTGAGAAAAGAAAAAGAGCTTGCAGGGCTCTCAGTCATAGGAGTCTGGCCTGAGCACAGGAAGAAACAGAAACACCTGGTGTATAGCAGATAATGTCAACATTGGGCCTCCATAACAATCGATTGACCACAGTGCTTCCTCTAGTAACTACTGGTACATAGACTCTAAGCAAACAGAGAGATGAGACAACTCTGGTCATAGTTGGATTTCTCCAGAATCCTGTAGAAGGAGCAATAAATTCATTTCAAGGCCATTGCAAAGGATCTGTGCACCTAGAAGAGGAATCTGAAAGCCCTTCCTAGATGAGCCTTCTCCCCTACCTCTACCCTAGGTTGGGGGTAGCATATGAAAGATTCAGGCTAGTGGTTTAGATAGAGGAGAAAGGACACCAGGACCACCTGGGAGGAGTTTGTGTATCAGTTTTGCTTTTTCCTTTAAACTTTCACTGAATCCAGTTCTCTTTCCCTAATCTTTCGATCCTTCCACTCCCAGTTAAAGAGTACTCCTGTGTCCCTCTTACCTAGGAGACTGAGTGGGAAGAATAGTTCAGAAGAGGCGGAGGGGAGCCCAGATCAGTTTAGATAGCTATGTGCAGTGTCTTCTGCCTTCATGAATGACAAGACTTAGCAAGGAAAGATTTTCCTTTGTTAAAGATGAGAAACCCAGGGAGAAACCTGGGAGATAATAGCTCAGTGGTTAGTCGTCCTTTCCACTCTTCTGAAGTTTAGTTCCCGGAACCAATGTTCCAGGGATTCTGTGCTGCCTTCTGGCCTGTGGGCACACCCACACTCAGGTGGCAAACACATACCCACCCACACACAGGCACACAAATAATAAAAACGTGTGTGTGTTTAATTAGAACCCATTCTATTTTATGCCTTTATGTAGCCTTTCTGTAGTTGTGTAGGAAAATCCCACTGTGTGAAACATTCTCACTGTCTCAGTGGAACAGATAGCCAGGGTAAATGAGAAGGTTTCTTTGAAAGGGTTTGCAGACAGTGGATCCGTGATGATGGGAGTGTCAGTGTGAAGGCCCAGCCCTGCCCCCACACATTCTCATAGGACAGAGCTGTGTGAGTGGCCTGGGAGACTTGCACTTTGGTTCACAGCTGCTGAGTTGCAAACTACAGTTCCAGGCAAGTTTTCTTACAGACTAATGATGTTACTGGTGATGTGAAGCTCGTGTCTTTTATCATCCATGTCAGAATAAAGGATTGAAAAGTACAAGATAAACTGAGTTGGACAATGTAAGAGTCTGATTTTGAAACTAATATGTATATTTTCTTCCTTGCTGAGATTAGTACATAGCAAAGAAGAGGCTGGAGTGAATTAAGAGTGCTTTAGGAATAGTTTAAAGTATGAATTCTTTAGTGGAAGAGCTTCTTTTGAAAAGCATCAAACTACTCACATGATATTTCATTGGTTAGAACAGAAACAGTTCACAAAGTCTAAGTCCGTATAGACATTTATAGAATGTTGCTTTTTCCCACATGGACCCACATAGACACTTTGTCTTACACAAAAATTATACTCTACAGTCAAGAATAAAAGTCTGTCCTAAGGAGCTTGGTGCTTTAATTTCACCAATAAAACACTGTGCCATGAGTAAGATTCTAGGGCTGATCATTCATAAGACAAGTGGCTCTATGTTCATAGGCCTCCTAGTTTATATCTTACTGTAATTAACAGTAGTAATGCAGTGGTGATACATTTATTAAAATGGGCCTCTGTATCCACAAGTACGAAGTTTGAACTGTCTAAACAGCCTTCTTTTTAACTTGTTAAAGTGTGTTCACAATGAAACCAAGAATGAATTGGAGAAGATGCTGAAGGTTAATGATGAGCACCCGGCTTATCTTGCAAGTGATGAGATTACCACAGTCCGGAAGAACCTGGAATCTCGAGGAGTTGAAGTCGATCCAAGCTTGGTAAGAAACTTGTCTAGCGACCACAAGGCCCTGGGTTCAAGCTCCAGCTCAAAAAAAAAAAAAAAAATTCCAAAAATACTAAAACAAAAAGCAAGAAATACCATGGACAGCCAGATGTGGTGACAGGTGCAACGCTTGGAATCTGGATGCAGGAGCTGAAAGTTATCCTCTGCTCCAAAGTGAGGCTGGAGTAGGACTCTCTACAAGCTCTGTCTCAGAAAAAGAAAGGGGATGGAGGTCCGCTTTCTAAATCAGTGTTCCTTGCAGTGCAGTATTCCTGCCTCTGATGAGTTACAGAGAGATCTGAGTGCCAAGTTCTGCTTTGTTCATGTGCACATTTACTGCCTTAATGATAGTCATTTCGAGTCTATGAAGAATAGCAAGTTAACTTCCATTTGCTGCTTACAAGGGAACTCCATAAATTCAGACTTAGAAATTTGGGTTCCTGCAGAATGGATAAAAGCCATCCAGACCTTGCCTCAGCCCCGTTTTACAGCTTTAGAATACCACAATTCACCTTTGTCTATATATGGCCCATTCATATAAACAGATAGTTATGTGTGTGTTGGGGGAGTAGGGGGGTTGGTTTGTTTGTTGGTTTGTTTGTTTTAGATGAGGTCTCACTATATAGCCTTGGATGTCCTAGAACTCACTGTGTAGGCCCACCAAGCTGGCCACAAACTCAGAAAGATTCGCCTAAGTTCTGTGCCAGGATTAAAGGGGAATGCCACCATTCCCAGCAACATAGGTAATTACAGTGTTTACAGTCAGTGTAGCTCAATTAGGAACAAGTAGATTTAGGGGAGAAATACGCATTTTAATATTTTATTGGATTGGATAAGACCTTTGGATCCTATCTCATTTTCCTCATTCCTGATAATAAATATGAGAATAAATTCTACATATTAGACCACCTTTTTCTTAGCTTCATAATACTTACTTGCAGCTTTTTTTTCCAGTACCCCTGGCTGAGTAAGTACCCCTGGCTGCCCTGGAACTCACTCTGTAGACCACGCTGGCATTGAACTCATAAAAACCATTTGCCTATGCCTCTGCCACCACCACCCAGCAACAGCAAATATAGTGGACTGAAATTTGTTAAGGGTTAACTTAAGGCCTGAAGAGACAGTTCGGCAGTGAAGAACACTTGTTCTCACAGAAGACCTGGGTCTGGTTCCTGGAATCATCTAACTAATATCCCTAACTCCAGTTCCAGAGTGTCTAACGGCCTCTGCAGGCTCATCACTCATGTGGTGCACAAACACATAAAAACAAAACACCCGTTCACATAAATAAAAAGAAAAGAAAAAATCTTTACATGAAACCCAATTAGAAAAATAAATCCAGTGAAGAAAGCAACCTGAAAACTTTCTATGCCACTGTAATTACTTTTAAAGATCTGCCTTTATGTCTCTGGACTTACTTTAAATTCTGCCTGAGGTCAGGACAGGAAACCTGGTGAGAACCTAACTGCTTAAGCTGCTGTACATGTTACATTATCTATACACTGAACGTGAGATTTTTAGTTGGATATAGATCTGATTTGTCTACATGGTCCTAACTCTCATTACTAAAAGTTCATGAAGCTAGGTGTGGTGAGTTCGAGGCCAGCCTGGTCTACAGATCATTTTCTAAGACATCCAGGGCTGCACAGAAAAAACCTGTCAGGGAGTCAGGGAGAGGGGAGGCCATGCAAATTGAGCACCCACCCTAATTCAACAAAGGAAAATAGAAATGCTCCAAAACCTGAAACTTTTTCACAAGAAAATTCTTCATGTGACGATAATTCAGAATGCAGGTACACAGTATTGTAGTACATAACATTATTTTTTAGACTATGTGTGTAAGACATATGTAAGTGAATTTTGTGTCAAACCTTTATCCTACCTCCAAGTGTAAATGTAAATATTCCAAGAGCATCCCACCCAAAACTCCCGGGTGCAGGACCGTCTGGTCCCACAAGCTCTGTGTGCTCTGACACTTCTAATCTAACGACACTTAGGTTAATGCAGTGGTGGTTAGAAGTACTCTCTTAGAAGCAGAGTGGAACAGGTCGCTATTTTCTGCAGACAAGAAAGTCTTAATTTGTTGGGGTTTTTTCCTAGTTACATCTGGGATGTCAGGAGGCGTGGCCTCTCAGCAGTTGGATTGTGTTACTAATACTGCCCCCTTTAGTAATTAGTAACTCAATTGAGATAACTCAAGCTTTCTTCATCTCCTGGATGGGGTTGGTATGTGTTCTGCCTACTAGCATTATTGTTGTCACTAGATGTAACAAACAGTACATGCTCTGGCAGACGATAGTGCCACAGAGGTATGGACCCTGTTGTTGTAACAGTGCAGCTTAATAGAAAGGATTGCTTCCTGACTGTTGTCAGTTGGTGGACACAGTCTGAGACAATAGTCCAGGTCCTAACTCTGCCCTTAGACAAGGTTTTTAGACTCTTCTCGCCTTGCCTTCCTCACTGCTAGCTAGGCAAAGATCATCCCTTACCAACCTACTCTGTACAATGAGTACAGTTTGAATGTAGTACATGCTTGCTTAGAACTTTGTAGATTTTGAAGTGTGTAAACTAATAAATCTAATACCTGACTTGAAAAATTATATAAGTGATTTAAAGCTATTGCTTTCAATTAACTTCTTTTTAAGACATAATTTCTTTGTGTAGCCTGTGTTGTCCAGGAAATAGCTCTGGACCAGGCTGGCCTCAAACCCACCTGCCTCTACTTCCTGCATGCTGGGGTTAATGGAGTGCACCGCCACTGCTGGGCAACAGTCTTTTCTGCTCTGTTGTTTGAGACAGGACTTCTCTCAGCCCTTCAACTTGATCTGTAGACCAGGCTGGCCTCGAACTTGGAGATCTGCCCCTCAGTTAACTTTTAAAAGTAAATCTTGTATACAACTAACTTTTAGTGGTCAACAACATATATTATAATATTGTTTTTTCTTTTCTCGTTTTAGATTAAGGATACTTGGCATCAAGTTTATAGAAGACATTTCTTAAAAACAGCTCTAAATCATTGTAACCTTTGTCGCAGAGGTTTTTATTACTACCAGAGGCATTTTATAGATTCTGAGGTGAGGTTTCACAAAGAAAAAGAAGTAAATTTTACTAATAATTGATGAAAGATGGTAAGGTAAAACATAAACTTCAGCTGCACTATGAATTTTAAACCCTTGAGCATCTGGAAGAAAAGAATGTGTAACTTATAAAGAATAAGTTTATCTTTTATCTTGTTAGAGATTTACCAGCTTAGCAGTAACTGACTTCTATGTGTATCATCAGAAACTGTAAGAATGTGGAAAAATATAATCTCTTGTACCCCAGAGTGACTGCGTGTACCCCAGAGTTTTGTGTGTATATTTAAGAAGAGGATGTGTATAGCATAGCCATTGGCATGTGCACTGGGGACAGTATAGTAATACTACTTTACGATGCATTTTTTGTGTCATAATTATTTTCTCACATCACTGAAATCTTGCTTTCTCTAAAAGAACTGGAAGTTCTTGTAATGGACCTAGCTCTCATACCTTTTAAAGTAACCCCTAGGTGGCAGCACACTTATGCCTTTTGACATTTTCTCATAAAGAAAAATGTTTTAAAATAGGCCTTGAAAAGCTCTGCTAATCAGTGTTGTTACTAAACTGAAGCTTCTAAGTGCTTTTCTGGGTTTATTTCAGCCAAAAGAACTGTGTGTGTGTGTGTGTGTGTGTGTGTGTGTGTGTGTGTGTGTGTGTATTAGATAAGCACTGATATTTTTACTAAACCTTAGGAAATAAGTTCTATGTAATTAATACAGGCTTTGCTTTTATATTTCATCTGATCTTCTTAATGGTTTACTACTCCAGCTGGAGTGTAATGACGTGGTCCTGTTCTGGCGAATACAGCGCATGCTTGCTATCACTGCCAACACATTAAGGCAGCAACTTACAAACACTGAAGGTAAGATAACTCCAAAAACAGCTTGATTAGAAAAACCTTAGAATCATAATTTGCTTTGAAATATTAATTTAAAAATAAATTACAGTTAGAAAATGATAGGGATAAAAGATGCTACAAATCTACTTCCATGAGATAAAAATTATAATAAAAAGAGTGGCGTCTTGAGCATTGCTCTGTGTTTTTGAAGTTTGTGTGTCTGTCTGTTATAGCTTAAGAACATGTCATCCTTAGACTGTGGCGAAGGTTTATGCTGATAAATGTACTAGAAAATGAGAAATGTGAATTCAAGGGAATAACTAACATGGTGATGCTTAATTTTCATTGTATCAGGAAATTTTTCATTCTATAAGTTCATAAAAACTGCTCTTCTGGGTTTTTGTTTACTTTGAACAGTCAGGCGGCTGGAGAAAAACGTTAAGGAGGTGTTAGAAGACTTTGCCGACGACGCTGAGAAGAAGGTTAAATTGCTCACTGGTAAACGAGTGCAGCTGGCAGAAGACCTCAGTAAGTCTTTTCTCCTGCCCCGGCTTCCTCGGTCCCCGCCACGTTCTCACGGCTCCCACTTAATCTCAAGCTTAAAGAAAAGTTACAGCTACCTATGAAGAATTGGTTTTATTCTGAATTGTTAAAATAAGACATTGACCTAAAATCTTATCACTCCAAATACTTGAATGTGTGTTTCCTAGGAATGTGTGTTTTCTCCTAGCAACTCTCAAAATCAGAGTGTCACTGTAGCTAATCCTTAGACCTCATTCATCACATAACACAATGTTCCGGCTCACTCCCTAACAAAACTTGCGTGCATGCTTGCTTACTTACTTTCTTCCTTCTTTTTTTGTTTTAGAATGGTATCTTGAAATCAAGGTCTGAAAACTAGATATACTTGTTAGTGAAATATGAGTTCTTGGGTCTTCTCAGTAGAAAGGTGTGTGTGTGTGTGTGTGTGTGTGTGTGTGTGTGTGTGTGTGTGTGTACATGCATACCTACTCCTAATTTTGTGTATCTATTGAAGACTCTTAAGTAGATGCTCACTACTTCCAAGTTGTATACAGTTCTATCTGGTTTGTTCTTGACTTTGCTCTTTTCCATACTTGTCATTCTAACAGTGTGGAACTAGCTTCTAGAATCCTTCACATAGTTAACTTATTTTGATCAATCCTCTGAATGTATAACCAAACTTTGCTGCCACCCCCATTACACAAACGTTCTTTTCATCCAGCTTGGAATCTTAGCTGTCCTATACCAGACCACCACCACAGTGCCTTTCCTTCTGCCATGTCCCCTTTACTTTGCACGCTGTGGCATCCTATGAGAGGCTAATCTTTACAAATTCCTTTCCCCAGGTTCATGGTCTGACCTTCGTGTCAGAGATCTCCGCATCCCATCTTACCCATATTCTCTCTCTCACTTATCTCCTGTGGGTCCTCTCCTCTGAAGCCAGACCAGGCTTTCCTGGAAACTCTTCATCATGCTTGTACTCCAACCCCTACATCAGGTTACCCCACACAGATCTGCACCATGGGACCAGGCTGCCATCACCCTGCCAGCCCTGCTTGGGATTTAGGCCTATAGCATCCCATCCACAACCTTGCTTGTTGGAAACATGTTTGGTTCTTAAAGGCTGGTAACTTACTAGCATGGATACTTGCTTGGATCTTTGAGAGCCCAAGGTGATCAGAGACACATTAACATATTATGTAACTCTTGGTAGTCAACACTCTGAGTCTAGCTAGTTATAAGCGTCTCTTCTTTGAGCTTATGAAACTGTTTTTTATTTTAGAATGTACTTAAATTTATATGTTTTCTGACATAAAAGAAAACAAACACTGAGTAGGAAGAAGGTCTTCAAGGCGGGGAACAGTTTTTAAGTTGAGTTGATAGTTCTGTAGTCGGTCACAAAACTGTCCAGAAGAGCCAGGCAGGGTTTCTTCCCTAGTTTTGTGCCTGTGCCTCAGGCCTGCTCTCCCTTTCCCATCTGCACCGCCCCATCCTGGATTTCTCTTTCAGGTTATCTGTGCTCCCATTGCTTTGTCTTGGCACTCTTGCTTTATTCTTTCTTCCTTCCTTTTTTAAATGTATATATCTCATTTTACTAATTTCCATTTCTGTCATATTTGGCTGTTTCCTGCCTCTTTGGAAGGATAGTTAAGTTTGTGCTGCTGCAGAAGCCCTGTATGCAAGCCTGGTTCACTATTCATCTGTTGTATCTTACACAGTGAATACTCACGGAGCTTCAGTATTGGTAAGATGCCTATTGTGGTGATTCACAGGAAGTCCATTCAGCAAGCATTTGGAAGCTCCTAACTTATAATTCCATGCTTAGTATGTATAATTTCTGCGTCCTTTGGGATATAGCTATCAGACTGAATTAATTCAATGAATTTTTACCAGCTTCTATATTTTTAAGTGACAGAAAATTGATGTGTGTGTGTGTATGTGTGTGTGTGTCTTTTAATAGAACCTGCACACTCTCATTACTCTCTAGTTGTAATTCGATTATTTAAAGAAAGTATATTGTTAACTCAGATATGTGTTCTGCCAAGCTAAGTTCCACGTTCTGGTGATTTTCCTAAGTAAACAGTCACAAGACCCCCTTGAAGTGATTTGTGACTTTTGGGGAAATAGAGTTATGGTGTTAATGTTCCAAATAATGTCCTTAAAAGCCGGGGTTCACCCATGACTCAGCATTATCAGTCACACTAAAGGAGATGAGCCATGACTGCCCGTGGTTTAAAGTCCTGAACACCCCTCTCTGTACTGTTTCTCTTCGATCTAAGGATTGGGAATATAGTCAGGGATGCTTCCAGCCAGACTACTCTCTAGGGTTATTAGTCACGACTGTATTCTAGGGAACAAGGAATCTAGTATTGCAGATGCATTTGGGATATAGTATAGAGATTTATACTGTGCAGTAAAGAGATTTAAGTATAAGATCAGAGTTGTGAATAATGGTGTCACGTAGAGTTTACTAAAATGTTGGTGACATTCATGTTTGCCAGTCATAAATTTACCTAGTTTTCAATCATTCATCACTTTGGATATTTACTAACTGATTGTTCATTAAAGTACAGTTATAAGTAGTGTGTCATCTCTACCAAAGTGAAGCAACAAGACACAGTTAGGAAGACCAAAGAAATGGGAATAAAGCCCACGTCTGTGTCAGGAGGCTTGTTGACAGAAATCAGGACTCTTGGACACACAGTGGTGTTTATAGCTGAATCATGGGAAGGACAGGATAAGCCTGGGACTCTTTAGAGTAAAAAAAAAGGATGTATTTAATGTGTGACATGTCATTATCACACAACACAGGCACTGTTTGATGCTGCCTCAGGTAATTCAGACAGTGACATATTGTAGCTTATTGAATGAAACATAAATCTGTGAATTAGGAATTATATGGGCAGAGGGATGAAATTAGTGGTGAGGAATAGAATGTTTATCTTACCACTCAAAATAGCTCAACAGAAAAGACCTATTATTAAGATTGTTTTAAAAGAAAATACCTGTTAATTTTAAAAGGTAACTGTATCATGGAAAAAAATCTGAGTAGTCACCACCTGATTCATATGGTCAAATCAAAATTCTGTGCCACTTATGGAATGCTGTTTTTACTAAAGATAAATGGCTTTAGATGTGGTGGTACATCAGAAAACTCATAGGTAAATATTGTCTACAGAAAAGCTGGCCTGGGGGCCTCAGATACATCAAAGACAAGGCAAGACTGAAACAGTAGTCCAGACTGAGAGCAACCAGTCAGAAATGCAGTCTGTGTCTTAGAAGACATGATTGTTCAGTTGCGATTTATTTAAGGGAATATAGTTGCTTCCAGCTGTATACATCAACATTTGATGTGATGAAGCCTAATCACATAAATGTTTCTAGAGAGATGATGTTTCTGTAGTGTTGTTACAGCATTTCGGGGGAGGGGCGGGGGTCTGGCTTGTTTCATGATGAAACAGGAAAAGAAAGTTTGTTTCTAGCTAATACAAGATCAGTGTTATGTGAAAACACAGAAAATGGGACTCACAGACATACTCTGAAGATGTCCAAAGACAGAGTACCTTATGGGACACTTAAGTGAGATACACACTTCATCCTCCTGCCTCAGTTCTAGTCACAGTTTCTCCCCACCATGTATAAACAGCCCCTGTGTCCTTTATGACAATCTTGATTTTGTAGTAAGAACAAACTCAACAGATTCTAGTGTCTAAATGGAGAACCAACTGTGAAGATAGCTATTTGGACTGCATGTGAATTTTTTTTAAGATTTATGTATTTCATATGTGTTAGTGTTCTGTCTGTGTGCCAGAAGAGGGCATTAGATGGTTGTAAGCCACCATGTGGTTGCTGGGATTTGAACTCAGGACCTCCAGAAAAGCAACCAGTGCTCTTAACCACTAAACTAACTCTCTAGCCCCAACCTATGAAATTTTTAGTAGTGTGCCTATCTATCAAAATAAAGTTCTTTTAAAATTACTTTCTTCTAGGTGGCAAAAGTTGTCCTTTCTATAATGTTTGATTTTATGATTGTCACCATATTAAAAAAGAGTGCTAACATTCTGAGATCTGTTTTTCCCACCTTGGATATTTAATCCCTGCTCACACTAACACTGGTTAAGTTTCCTTAGTACATGGTGAGATGCTTTTACTTAACTTGTGTCCACTGAGACCCGAGTTATGCTTTGTTGTTGTTTTGGAACAACCCTGGCTGTCTCGGAATTCAACAGTCCACCTACCTCCGCCTTCAGAGTGCTAATATTAAAGGTGTGTACCACCACCACCTGGCTTCAAGTTACACTTTTTATTCCTTGTGTTTGCACACTCATTAATAGCCAGGAGTTAAAGGAATGCTAGCAATCATTCATTTAGACAGCTTGTTCTGAGAAAGGATTCTTTTCCCACTTCTATTACAAGTTTCTAACTCTGTGTAAAACATGAAGTTGTTTATGGATATGAGCTGATATTTGTGTGCTTGTCTAGAGCCTGGGGACTGCTTTCCATAAGTTCTCATTGGGGGTCTCTACCACAGCCCTGTGGAGTAACAATAGTTATTTTCCTCGTAATAAAAAATAGAGGCTTAGAAACACATAGTATCTGATTTGATAATTCTTTTAATTTATTAGAGGACAAAACTCAAGGCTTTGGAAAGTATAATTGTATACAATTACCCTTTGTATTGGGATGTGTACATAGTGGTATGTCAGAGAGACAATATCAGCAGTGATGTGCCCTTTTCTTATCCTTGGTCCTTCCTGTCACAGAAGGAGCTTTGAAAGTGAGACTTTTACTCTGTAAAAACATCTAAAGAAATACCATATATACACGGTGAAGTCATGCATATGAAGTCAATAGATGAACCGAAGGAAGCCTGTCTTTATTTGACCTGTAAACCTTCTCCAGACTTCCAGGTCCCACTATAATCAGAGGTGCCCAAAACCTGGATGTTTCCCCCCTTGCTGGTCTCAAACTCTGTGTATCTAAGACTTTGAACTTCATGCTCTCAA